GAATAGAATACAAGCAACAGCTACAGCAATACCTTAGAACAACAGTTGCTGTACGAAGACTACTAGTACTACAGATTTATCTTGAATCAAAATAGTCTAAAATGTTAAGCCTCAAAGTTAACAACAACTCTGAACTTTTCACCAGAACACATTTGGTCATCAATTAGTCACTTTTATAGTGGACATGTGTTGATGAGCCCTGGTCATTTTAGATGATGAGGAAAATTCAACAGAGACAAATTAATGTCACTTCTCACAAACCTATGTGACATTTCTTTTGTTGACAAGGACCACATCCAGGGTGGAAAATAAGTGATAAACTAATCCACTGGCAGGCCTAAGTGGCATTTACAACCAAACAGGGCCAGTTTCACATTAAGTACCTGGCTGAATGAGTCCCAACTGACAGAAAATTTTAGTCTATTTAGACCAAAGGTAAATTTTTCTCAACTAAGGATTAATTGGATCTGTTTTAAATATTTCTTTCTAATGAAGCACTACTTTGTGGAAAAATCATATCTTTGACTTAAACAGGATGTACATGTATATGAACGTGACTCCTGCCAGTATACCACCTCAACCATAAAATGAGTTTTAAATAGGTGCCCAGTATTTTCACTAGTATTACAAGTGAATTAATATCGTAAATCTCCTAATGAAGCACCTTTTCAAAATTAGTAAACTTAATGACACCTGGGTTTGGGGAAAATATCTGAATATTTACCCCCAAGGTTCCCTCAAACAAAACACAAGATTGAGGGTAGTCACTTGGTAATTACTAGTAAATAAAAAACATCAAGGTATCTCCTGACCAACAATTTTTCAAACCCCCATGAATCCATCTTCATAATTCACACCATAGGCTGGCACAAGTAAACCTATACTGAAATACGGGCTCCCACTAATATTTTTCATTCCACTTAAGCTTTATATCAGCCTCTAGAAGGTTCTACCTGTGATGTAAATGGACTCCTAATGCAGGTCACACAAATATATTTTTTCTCGACAAAGGCTCAAAATTACAGCCCACAAAAAAGGAATTCATCTAGTGTGTATACATCAATATCACTGTGCACAGTTGACATACCTGGGACCTAGAATATTCGTTTATAGAAAATATAGCAAGATGTTGTTCTGATAGACAAAGGTTACATTTTCCCTATTCTTCTACATTAAAGACGGTATGCATACACTGTTCAGCTTTTGGATAGAATACATAAGGATTGGGATTACCTAGTGTATTACAATTATATATGTGGTTCTGCAGGTATTTCATCTTCAATAAACATTCATAAATACCTAAAGATAGTTAAAGCAAAAGGAAGCTACTTGTGTGTGTACGTGACATCCAATATAAATCATCACATACTCTTATTTCTTGAAAATTACATAGCAGTACATACAATGTGTTATTTATGAAATTCAGTAAATTTGAAAGACGAAGTAATCATCCTTTTGTATCAGTTTATGGTATACCTGATAAGGTCAGGACATATACTTCCTGCTCTTATGACATAGGATGATATCAATTTATCTTTCTAAAATTCCACAATCATCTTAAACTAGATCTAGCTCTGCTATTAAAATTAAATGACTCACTCCACATATTTGTGTTATGTGAAACATATTGAAAATGTCTCAAAGGAATATCAGCTTATTGTTTAAGTGACAAACAGAGGGCAAGTTTGCCCACTTTCCCCTGAAGGAATGCATATCTTTCCAAGGGAACTTGCATTATTTCCCAAATATTTTAGAACTGTAACTTATAACCACAACTAGTCGTGGGAATGTGTAACACTCTTGCAGTGCGTTGGGCATATATCTAACATTGCACCTTGAAAGCAAACATCCAAAAAAACTTGAAAAAATTCTAAAAAATATAAGAGAAGATAAAGAATCATCATATCCAATAGTAATAGATAAAATTACTTTGTCCATTAAAAGAGAAAAGTATACATAATGCTAGCACTAGCCAAATCTCAACTAGTACAGTGAAAGTAACTATCAGTCCCTGCTGGTCTTCTGGTCTTTTTGAAAAAATGATCTAGTTCCACATTTGGTATAAATATATTTGCCAGTTCTTAATCTATCAAAAAGCATCATTAAACAGCAAAATAAAACTTACCAAGAGACATCACATAACCTTGATCCAATGAACGATAATCCAGTGAACGATGTTTAACAACACAAGCACTAGAACTGCTAGATGCTTCCTTTGAAACTAGGATGGAAAAGGGTGACTGATTCTATTCAAACACAAATTTGCTGACCTCTTGGTTATGGTTCAGGGTACATTCTAAGTGGGGAGTGGTAAACCAGCAATGGGAGTGATCACTGCTGTTTTAAATTACCTGGGTAATAAAAAACTCTCTCAAATATAGTCACATGTTTTGAGCAGTCTCAATAGATCAAGATTTTTTATTCTTTACCACCAGACCTTTAATAGCCTGCTTTTTACTACATGATTCATATCAACTGTATTACTGCCTTTTTTTTCGAATGGCATTTTTCCAGATGATTATCACAAAATGGGCAAAATTCCACTTTAGAAATCATGATTCTTTTCTCTTCCCCTCCTGCAGTACATGAAGCAGTTGTTCGTAGAAATAGCTTTATGCTTTCCACAGGAAATTACTTTCTCAATCTTTTTAACAAATCTTCACTTAAGTTCTTTGTTCAACTCACCTGGTTTACAGGTAATGTGTTCCATTAGTATAGAAAAAATTTGACAAAAACTCTCACAGAGCAGACTAATAGACCATAAGCCTGGCATCCATAACACACCCCATACATTCTTGTAATAGTGTCTTAAGCTAAATTTCATTGTAACTGCGCATAGCTCTTACTTTTGTGGTTGTTCAATCAATAAAATTATTTACACTGTAATCTGAAGTTAGAAGTTACAGAGGTAAGCTGTTTGCAAATATGAAGGAAGACACGCTCACACAAAATGCAAACAAATCCTCATTCATTCCTAAACTAACATAAGAGTTAAACAGTACTCTTGCACATGAAGGGCATCAAAACACTAAAAGGTGTTAGGCTAGAACCTTTTTCCATTCATTTAGATTCTGAAAATTCTGAATATATATTTATGTGTGCACTTGCATCACAGAGAGCATCTTAATTAGATATACATGCTGAAGTGTGTGTGTGTGTGTGTGTGTGTGTGTGTGTGTGTGTGTGTGTGTGTGTGTGTGTGTGTGTGTGTGTGTGTGTGTGTGTGTGTGTAGTTCCTATAATTATCTTGTCGAATGAACCAAATGAGTAATAAACTATACTAAAAATAGTATAGGATAATTATTGATGAAAGGACATTTAAAGTTTGCTCCTAAAATATGATAAAACATATGTAATTGACCGATTTACTAGACACCATAAGTCTATGTACTTTCTTTATATACTTCTATGATTGATCCAACTCTGCAGCGACTGTTGCTGAGTGTGATCAGATAAACTGAATCACAAGCTTCCTGGTATTGTATGTAATATAGAAAAGCTGGTGATTATACCAGTATGTTGGAAATGTTCTTCAATTAAGCTGATTGCACTCAGCGAGAGTTGGAATGATCTATGTTGAACGTCTATAGGAATGGGTCCTTACACTGTATTACAAGTTAAATGAAGTCACCGTTAGTGCATCAGTTATTGCACATGTATGTGTATGTGTGTTCGTGTATTTCATGGTAACTACATGCAACTTAGCACAAAAAAAAAAAAAAAAACTTAAAATTTTACACCAACTAGGAAATTCATTACGATTTGTCAATATATTAATTAAACTGGTCCATCCCAATAGTGAAAATACAAAATAAAAATATAAGCCTTCAAAAATGCTATAAGAACTATACCTTTCATCAGTCCCAAAGCTACACGATGTGAATAATTTACTATTGATTTTTAATTTTACACAGGCTATAGGTACCTAGCACATTTCAGTGATTTCTATTTAATTTGAAAGATGACTATATTTTCAATAAAATGAACTTCTATGCTATCACTCTATACTACAGATAGATTTCTCCTGGAATCAACTGTTTTTTTTTTTTAATTACAATTAATTAATTTATTTATTAAATTTCAACTGATATTACATTACATATAGCAATTCTTGAATAACTGTCCTTCTTTAACTGACACTGTGTGTATGACAGACCTTGCAGTGCAACTACCGGGGTGTTTTTCTAACGTCTAGAATTCTGTGCAACTTATTGTAAGTTACACAGAGTCCGCAGAGTTACACTACGTGCATCTTACATATATCTAAATAAGTACAGTCGCAAGTCTGTGAGCACTCCACTCAAAAAAACAATATCAGTTCATGTTGCGTTTAGACAAGTATAACGAACATGTAGTACTTACCGCTCGTGAGTACATTGATTCCGTTTCGACGCAACCTTCCATGACCAAGCTCCATGTCTCCTGGAAGGATATTGATGATTTATTCTACCGTAACAACAAACAGCAGCAACTGACCGGCCATGTGGGCATTACAAAAATAAGAATATTGAACTTTATTGCCTGGAACGAGATTAATAAACTACCGTTTATTGCTGTATAAGCAGTTAAATCACACACATAATTACATTCATAATTTGTTTCTATATGATAGAGTCAATTTAGGACTTATTATTAGAAGATATTAGCCGACATTGAGGATTCATTTACTTGCTTAAGCGGTATACGTGGTCTTCGTTTTTAACAATCAAAACATTGTGTTGGTTGAGCGAATACACTGAAGCAATAACTTGTTTACAACTCAACTGACGCATTTTTGGTGAAAGTTCTAATGTGGAGATGGGGAACGTAGGCGACATGGCACAGAAGGCCAGTCTATTAATACTCGACAATTTCATGACTTAAAAGTTTCATCATTGTATAAAGTAATTATTAACTCCTCTTTTAAAATGCTAAAAATGTAGCAATTCCAAAAAATAAAGAAGAAATCATTAATACATAAAAGTCAAAGTGCACTTAAAAACACAAAATCCCTTCCTTGAATGAGGTTTATTACTAGATCTACAGTTTTCAATAATGCCAATACAACAATACACAAAATAAGAATTTGTACATTTATAATTTTAAACTCTTTGGAGATGCCTAACAACAGGCTCTTAGAGCAAACCAACAATACAATGGTTTGTTCTTTTGATACCAGGATATAAAATGGACCCAGTCAAATCTATGTTTAAGCTAACATTCTTTTCTTTTATCCAGGTTAAGAATTACAAAACAATAAAGTATATTCAAATAAAGAAAATAATTAGCAAGTAAATTCTGCAAATGACCATCTTCTCAGGTTTGTTAAAAGATCAAGTGCACCATAAAAAACAACATAAAATTTTCTTTCTCCATTATGAAGACCATGAAGAATATATCCATTACTTTTTTAACTCTTCAAAAAAACAAGAATCCATCATGTTGTTCAAAAATGCATTTTATGGACAGAGCAAATAAACATTATCTACATTGAAAATGTTTGCAAACCACAGAATGAATGCAGTGCAGTTATTCAAAACAACAGACCCTCAAACATACTACTGAATTTTTTCAGTAAAGCTCCAGTTACTACTAAATAATCAGCTGCACACTTCACTCCCTCTCTTTATCAGATTCATCCTCGTTGTTATCGACAATGGTCATCTGTCTGCTGCCTTGACTTTGAGCCCATGCCACATGGTAGGATACATTTTTGTCTGAATTACTGACAACAGTCACAATCTCATTGTTTTTTTCTTGTATCCCTGCACGGGCCTGGGCCAGGGCTTGCTGCACTGCGATGTCTTTCTGTGTCCGTTCCTCAATCACAGCCCTTGATAAATGCATCTGGGCTTCAATTTTAGCAGCATTTACTGCCTATGGAAGGAGAAGGGGGAAGTCAAACAAAATGATATGGAAAATAATTGAATTTGTCTACATCATCAAGATGTAGACAAATACTATTTTTTCTAGATATCTAACGTATAGCACATCAGAGGTTTTGCTTTGTGCGATGGAATGTTTTAACGTGCTCTACATAATAAAACCGTTCTCTGTAAGTGTTGTGCCATTTCACAATTTTTTTACATCTATCAACATTAAAAAAGAACTAGAAATATCTATTACTATGTTATTTTACCTCAATTTTTTCTTTTTCCAACTGCTGCCTTAGCTGCTGTAAAGCTGCCTCTCTGGAAGCAATAGACTGTTGCTTGGCTTGGTCGACCATCATCTTTAACTGCTGTGCCTGCTGTAACATGTTACTGGCCATCTGAAGAAGGACAGCATCACATAATTATGTGTGCATAGCACTACTGTATTTGGGCTGAGGACAGCATTAATTTACCAACTACATTTTGAGCGTACATATCTATAGTTGTAACTTTAAATTACAGGACACAGGCAATGCTAGCAAGTTTAGAGCACAAATTATGGAGACAGGCCCACTAGAAAACTAGTTTTTTTTCAGCAGAAAATGCCAAACATGCCATCAATTTGACCGCTCCCTTGTTTGAACTGATATCATTATTTGTTTCCCCATCACATGTATAGTGTTTTGTAATTTAGCATGAAAGACCTTCAAGTTGGAATGAAAAGAAAGCATGCTGACAAAACATCCGTTTCACAAGCCTACTTTGTAAATTTCATCCTTTATCAGCTTTTCTCAACTAAACATTCTCTCATAAAATACTGTCTTGTTGACAATGGAGAGAAAAAGACTAAACATATCACCTCCTCAAGCTGCCACCACTGTTTCTGTTCTTGGACATCAATACCAGCTGGACTGCTACCAGATCTACCTGTCTGGGGAGATACTACCACTGCTGCAGTTGCTTCTGGTAAAAATGATGAAACTTAAACCAATGTTTAAGTTTATTTATTGATTTTTTTTGTATTATTTTTTTAATGAGTTTTATCTTATTTTCTTGACTTAAAGAGCTTAAAACATCTAACAATTTTCGCCAATTTCTCATTTATAGACTTAAAACCATCATCCATGTGATCTAGCCAATGTAAAATGAAAATAATTCCTTTAAATCAACCTGTTCACTAGAGGACATTTATTCAAAGAAGCTTACCATTCACCCCTCCCACAACCATATTTCCACTGGCATCTGTTGCTACTGGGACAAGATGGACAGTCTCTCCTTGCTCATTTGTGCTGACAACTGCTATGGAGCGTGGAGTGCTACTATTGGTTCCCGTAATGTTAACTGTATTACCTGAAATGCGGTTAAGATAGCTACTTGACAACTTTCTTTTGATGTTTTTAGTTAATTACCAGTTATTGCTAATGTTAGAAAAATCACTATCACATCAACAGATACAGTTGCAGTCAATCTGTGATCATGAAATATGGTCTGATACAGCATGACCAATTTTATAAAATTTTCTCAAGATTTTTTCATTTCCTTAGCTTTATCAAAAATAAATAAATAAAATGCATTTGCCCATCTTGAATTATTTGTCTTGAACAACTTTATATTTCTAAGGACTCCTTTAATTAATTCAAACACTGATTACTATTATTGTTCTAACTTGACTTTATTTCACCTTCTTTTGCCAAAGGAGACATGACAGAGGACACACTGGATTTAGAAGAGTTCAACCTCTGTCTTTTCTGTGCTGATTGTCCAGGAGGAGTGGTATCAATGTCTCTTCTCCGCCTTTTGTATGGGACAAATAAACGTACTGGTCCAGTCTAAACAAATAACAACTGATATATTGAGGTGGCCTCATACGGTTGACACATTAAGGGACAATATGTTATCTACTCATTTTTAAGTGAAGAGTACAAATATATTTGAACCAACATTTGAAAACAAACCCTTTTTTTTCAATTTTACAAAACTGCACTAATTACACACTTGAAATATGGAAGCATGCATAATATGTGTATCTGTTATAGATCTGACATATATGTATAAATATATATGTAACACCCATACAGGGGATATGATTCATTCCTTTAATTATTTTCTTTGACTACAGATTTGATTTCTGCTGCTAGAACCTACCACTGATTCATCATCACAACAAGCTGCACAGGTGCAAGAAGTAGCATGAGGTTGGAGAACATTGTCTTCAATCAAACACTGTAAAGGTCTTCCACCATAGCGAATACTTCGTTTCCAGTCTTTGCTGCTAGCACGACCACAAAGGGCTTCAAATTCATTTGGTGTATACCAGTTATCTATGTACTTAATGCACCTTCCTCTTCCACCTAAAAATAATAATTTAAAAAATCAATGAATAAAAAAAGAAAAGAAAAAAAGTATCACATTTGTACAAAATGCCTAAAAACAATACTATATGTGACACTATTTTACAGTACTGCACACATTTCATAAAATGAAAAGGCAAGATCTTAATAACTGTGACAGAGCTAGTTGCTTGATCTAGATGTAATGTCAAAAGAATTAAATGTACAAAGAGAAGTGAATACGCAAAAGCAAATTTAAGTTGCAAAATGTTATCTTTTCTAGCGCCCTGTTTCTTTTAACTAAAATATCACGTTTGCTGTTGTTGTTATTATTATTGTTGTTGTTATTACTATTATTATTTAACTTGATCATTAAAACATACCTGACCCAAACTTCGCTTTATGAAGTTCACCATTGGTGGATTTACATCTTACGGGTAAAACCTGGAAAGTGACGGTATCGTCCCACTGATACCTAAACCCCTTTGCTTTGCTGTGGGGGGTGGCAGGGGTGGGCGGGGGAAGGGGGGTAGTTGGAGTTTTTAGTCCATCTGGGACAGCAGTCAATTGATTCTGTCCTTCGTCGTGTATTACAATGTGAGTTGTTTTTATGCCAGCTTCATGAAGTTGTTCTGCTGTAAGTAAGCCATGCATGGGTGTGGCCACATAGACGGTGCCATCTGGTCCTGTGTGGCCTATCGCCGTAACGTGGACATTATTTCTAGACTCTGATGAATTCGTCTGCTCATCTCCTTCGTCGAATGCCGAATCGTCACCATTCGGGAGCTCCTCGGAAATGTCGACTTCACCCATCACGGAAACTTCTTGCCCATTATTCGATTCCATTTTCGTCGCATTTCCTATATATTTTACTTCACTGAAAACGTAAGCAATCCTACTCCTTTCTTAAGCATTAGGTAAAAAATCCAACTCAATAATTTTGAGAAATTTGTGTTCCAACCTGTTCGTGTTATTTCGATTCGGCAATTTTCGTCGCCATTCGAGTTGGATTTTAGCCTCGTTTCAACCTAGCTTTGGTAGTCTCTAAAGTATTTTTGTTATTTATGATTTTATCCATAAATAAGACATTTTACTCAATTTTAACATTAACAAAACTATAAAATTAAAATTCATTTGTTTGTTGATAAAGATATTTTTACTATGTTCATAAAATATAAGTACATTGAATAGTCTTAATTTTGATCATTGAGATTATCTGTCCGTGTGTCGTATTTAGCTTAGTGCGGAAAAACGAAAATGGCCTGAAACGGGATTATGGCAGATTCATTTTTTGGGTTTGAAACTGACTTGCCTGTAAGTATAAATTCAAAGTATTAGCAAGGATCTTTCGAAAAGTGAAGGTAATTTTCACCAATGCAATTTTAAATTGAGACTCTCTTATTCGTAATTTAAAAACTATTATATACTCTGCCACTGCCATGCATCTACCGCACCGGTGAACAAAAACATTAAAATTACGCCAGTGAAACTACCAATTAAGATTTATGCTACTCTATGCAAGACACCATATCGGCCATAGTGTAGACACATTCCATTCATGCACAATATATTTTGTTTCCGTTGCCTTCACAATGAACAGAGCTATTCTGGTGCAGTTACTAGGACGTGGATTTTTAGTCAGTACCTAGAATAATAAAAATATTAATACAGGTTGATATAGGAGCTAGTGGCTATATTTTTGTTTGTGTTTCTTTTTATTTGTGATGGAGAACATGACCAAACATATTTGCCAATTCAAGCATTTCTTTGGGTCTGACAAAATTGTCAAAAACAATATAGCTGTTTGTAATACTCGTGTTACAGCTGTCCAGTTTTGATTCGATGCATCGCATTATTGTTTTTAATCTAAGCTCAAGTTGACGTGAATTTATGTAAATGATAACATATTTTAAGTTAGGAAATTGAATGTAATATATATTTTGCAAATTTTCATTTTATCCCTTTCGTAAGTTTTTTTTTGTGTGTGTGTGTGTGTATGTGTGTGTTTGTGTGTGTGAAAAATGCAAATGTGAGCACAGCAAATAAATACCATAAAAAATCTCTCAAACTTGATTTGTTTAGAGATCACATTTTGCTATTAACCCAGCAAAAATCAATATTTGAAAGAGTAAATTGTAAAGAAGTTGCCATTATTCATATATTTCATATCTGCTATTGATTTAGATAAATTATTTGTTTTAAATTCTAGTAGCATTGTTTGTTGATGTAATAAGTGTTGTTGTTTAGATTTAAAAATCATTTGATTTGGCAAACAACTATGTTTTAAAGCTGGTATAAGTCAAATAACTTTTGATGTTTTCTGTGTGGTGTTGGGTTCTTTTAAGTCGGTTTTTAGAATAATTCTGCCATCTGAATCGAGGGTTTCATGCATTTGGCCATAGTTTTGTATTCATAACTAAATCTGGAATTTGTTTTGTTTTGGCATACTTTCATTTATTTGAATGTGAAAATGGTAATCATTTATATGCACTACAAGTATTTTCTTTTGGAGATGGACTTGTATCATAGCATCTCTTCACATTCTTGCAAGTACTTCTGATGATAAATTTGCATTAATGGACGAGCTTTTTTTGTTAATTAGACTCTGGGAGTAGGCAAGTCGGACTTCGACAATGAGTTACGTGAAGCACCGGAAGAAGAAGATGTGTATGATATGATGAATGATGAAACCTTTGGTGCAGCAGAATTTGATGGTGAGGTCAAATTTAAACATGTTGAAAGTGTTGAGAATCATATCTGTTTGTATAAAGAAAATCAGATAAGTGTTTTCAAGAAGACAAAGTGGTTGTAATGTAGCCAGTGCAAAAGTATCTTTTTAGGTGTATTTGTGTATTGCAAAATATTTATTTATTCTTTTTCTTATTAAATTGAAAAAGTAATATTTTAAGATAATTTTAGTATGTTTAACACACTGAGGATTATTTTTCACTCAATTTGGAAATAAATAACATTTAAATTGCTTATTTTGTTTACTTGCAGGAGACTGGGAAGAGCAGCATGAATTGCTGGCTGGAGAAATAGAAAAACATGACAGGACCGGCGACTCTGGATTTGATACTTCGGAAAAGAAATATGAAGGACAAGAAGTAAGCAAAACTGCCTGGAACAATCCTTCTTTTTCTGCTCTTTTTTTAACATTTACAGTTGGAAATTGTGTCATAAAAATACCTTGGGCACTTTGTAAAGCATTGTTGAAAGTATGCATAGATGCTCAATAATTTGATTGGAACTCTTATAAGTCTTTTTAATTGGATTATGGCAAGTATGAAAGAAAGAGCATGGTCATAAGGGAAGGCAAACATGATCAAAGAAAGAGGTAGACAAGAAAACTTTGCTTTTGATTTTTTAAGGAGGATATGGAACAAAGTATCAGTCACTTGGTCCTGGATGATGATGAACTGGACGACCCTGCCATAGTCAATGTGTCCAAATCCAGGCCTATTCCAATGGTAAGTATTGGCATAGACTACACTATAAGCTATACTTAGACTAAATAGTAATAGAACAATACGTGTCTTTCTAAAGATGACTTTAGCAGCGAGTAGCGTTTAAGCTACTACTCATTCAGTTGGATATGTGTGAAGAGCACTAGGTGAGAGTTGAATCAAATGATCAGTGTGCACTCTGTGCCCTGTACCAGTGAGTTGAAGGATCAGTTAGAAGACATGAAAGAAAAATTTATATTTAAGAGAGCTACAGTATATCAGTTATTAACAGATGTTTTGAATCTTATTTTCATTGGGAGAAGCAGGGGCTCTGAATTATACATGATAACAAGACCTTCATTGCTTTGTGATTTGCACATGCACTTGCATGTGTGCGTCTTTCTGAGCATGTACTCATGACTTTCAACTTGTTTGTTGTATTATAGAAAAAGCAAAGTTTGGAGGAGATATTTGGACCAGCTTCTCCACCAGCTTTATTGGATACAGAAGACTTAGTGAGTATGAACAAAACATCTTCAGTTGTTCTGTTTTAAAAAAATGTTTGTAGGCTAGGTAGAAATTGAGGAAAATTTACCACGTTTTAACTTTTTATTTTCACTCAAAATAGTGATGGGACAGGGGTGTGCCATTTAGAATTTACATTCACTGTAACATGTGAACAAAGTTTCCATTTTGTAAGTATAAGTTTAATATTTAAATGTATTGTGTAAATTAAAGTCTGGCAGAATGGATTATCTTCATGTTATCTTCATGTTATACTTTCTGCAGTCTGAGAACTACTGGTAATGCATGTGAAATATTTATACTATTGTTTTTAAAGCCTTACAAATGTCTTTGTAAGCGTGCTGATCAAAAGGAAAATAAATAAATAGAGTAGAAAATGAGATGAATCGCAAAATTTAAATTGTTATATTAATAAATATAAATGACATCAATACTGAGACCTGAATCAGTTCAATATTGAAAAGGATCATTCATAAGAGAGAGAGAAGTCCATTTATCTTTACAATTCATTTTTTCAATTTATTCAGTCATTTTTCATGGTTTTTCTTGGTTTACATGAGCAGTTAAGTTGAATAGTTGTCTCATGTAATTTACATGTGTTTCTGTTCCTTATAGGTATCACCAGGCCATCAGAATATTTGGAGCTCTCCCAGTAGAGAGGGTTTCTTTGGAAGAATGAAACAAGACAGTGGCTTTCATGGCATGGTACAGAGAACACCTATACAGGTAAAAATGTTTTTGATGTGCCTTTTTATATTTAAAAAAAAACAGTTAATCTTGTTTGTTTGACAAAGGCTCTGTTCTCACAACTTTTAGATCGAACTATCACCGCGGGGAGTCTCACTAGATTACTGTCAGATAATCCCCCTTAAGTGTCCGTCCCCGCCTACCACAAGCTTTAAGGGGTAATTAACTTTCGTGTCCGCCCGGCTGACAGCTATTTAGCGTGAACCCCCAGGGAGTTAGGTCGATCCAATGTAGGTCGATCTAATCTATGAGAATGGGGTGAAAGAGCTTACTTAAAACAATATGACAATTTAGGTTGTGCAACTTTTATGAACATTTTATTTATTTATTTATTTTTTATTTTTATTTTTTTTACAATAATACAAAGAGCTGTGACGTCAGAGTTTAATAAGTCCAACCTTGTGTCATCTTCATTGTGTAATCTATATGACCAATGAAAGGAAACTGTTCAGAAATTAAAATAGTAACATATCTTGACAATCAATAGTGCTGTCTCAGCCAATGTTTAAAAATGTAGTCTGTTTTGTCATTTGTTATTCTGGTTGTGCTGTCTTTGTAAATATGCACTGTTTTGGCTGCTGGTACTTTAGTGAGGCTGCTGCTGGTAGGAAAAGGACACATAAGCAGTGTAGTGATTTAGAGCCTGGCATGTGTAAAACTAAGTGTAGGTGCAAATGCAGGCTTTTACGTTTAATATTTTTAATGACTTGGTTTTCTGTTCTCAACATATCATGTAGCTTTATATTAGATTTTTTTAGTTCTTGAAGTTTTATATTGGGTTAAGCGCATTCAAAAATTCAAGAACAAGTGAGTAGTACTTTTAACAGGATGTTGAAAACTAAGATTTAAATCATATTTTCAGGACCCATCCATAGTGGTAGCAGGTAAGAGCTTATCCAGTAGTTTGCCTACTGCCAAGACAGCATCTCAGATAGAGCAAGACTTGAAGCAGATGTTAAGGACACCACAAGCAAAAGCCATCACTGTGGAGGAACTTGAAAGAGAAATGCAAACTGGTGTTATGTCAAATCAATATAATACTCCCAGAAGTGTGCCACCACAACAAAGGATAGCTACCCAGGCAGGTCTACAACAGGTACCACAGGTAAGAGAAGTGGGAGATATAAGCAAAACATAAAAGTATGTTAGTGTTCTCTTCATACCAGTAGAGAAAAAGGTCATTTGTCTTCAATATGAGCTTCTTGAAAAATTAAGTATTTCTCATTCTGTTGTGTAGTGCTGATCTCAAGTGGAATAATTAGAGTGATTGTAGAGTTTTTTTTTGTTTTTTTTNCTGCCTTGTTTAACATTTACATTTGGAAATTGTGTCATAAAAATACCTTGGGCACTTTGTAAAGCATTGTTGAAAGTATGCATAGATGATCAGTAATTTGATTGGAACTCTTATAAGTGTTTTTAATTGGATTATGGCAAGTATGAAAGAAAGAGCATGGTCATAAGGGAAGGCAAACATGATCAAAGAAAGAGGTAGACAAGAAAAGTTTGCTTTTGATTTTTTAAGGAGGATATGGAACAAAGTATCAGTCACTTGGTCCTGGATGATGATGAACTGGACGACCCTGCCATAGTCAATGTGTCCAAATCCAGGCCTATTCCAATGGTAAGTGTTGGCATAGACTACACTATAAGCTATACTCAGACTAAATAGTAATAGAACAATACGTGTCTTTCTAAAGATGACTTTAGCAGCGAGTAGCGTTTAAGCTACTACTCATTCAGTTGGATATGTGTGAAGAACACTAGGTGAGAGTTGAATCAAATGATCAGTGTGCACTCTGTGCCCTGTACCAGTGAGTTGAAGGATCAGTTAGAAGACATGAAAGAAAAATTTATATTTAAGAGAGCTACAGTATATCAGTTATTAACAGATGTTTTGAATCTTATTTTCATTGGGAGAAGCAGGGGCTCTGAATTATACATGATAACAAGACCTTCATTGCTTTGTGATTTGCACATGCACTTGCATGTGTGTCTTTCTGAGCATGTACTCATGACTTTCAACTTGTTTGTTGTATTATAGAAAAAGCAAAGTTTGGAGGAGATATTTGGACCAGCTTCTCCACCAGCTTTATTGGATACAGAAGACTTAGTGAGTATGAACAAAACATGTTCAGTTGTTCTGTTTTAAAAAAATGTTTGTAGGCTAGGTAGAAATTGAGGAAAATTTACCACGTTTTAACTTTTTATTTTCACTCAAAATAGTGATGGGACAGGGGTGTGCCATTTAGAATTTACATTCACTGTAACATGTGAACAAAGTTTCCATTTTGTAAGTATAAGTTTAATATTTAAATGTATTGTGTAAATTAAAGTCTGGCAGAATGGATTATCTTCATGTTATCTTCATGTTATACTTTCTGCAGTCTGAGAACTACTGGTAATGCATGTGAAATATTTATACTATTGTTTTTAAAGCCTTACAAATGTCTTTGTAAGCATGCTGATCAAAAGGAAAATAAATAAATAGAGTAGAAAATGAGATGAATCGCAAAATTTAAATTGTTATATAAATAAATATAAATGACATCAATACTGAGACCTGAATCAGTTCAATATTGAAAAGGATCATTCATAAGAGAGAGAGAGAGAGAGAGAGAGAGAGAGAGAGAGAGAGAGAGAAGTCCATTTATCTTTACAATTCATTTTTTCAATTTATTCAGTCGTTTTTCATGGTTTTTCTTGGTTTACATGAGCAGTTAAGTTGAAAAGTTGTCTCATGTAATTTACATGTGTTTCTGTTCCTTATAGGTATCACCAGGCCATCAGAATATTTGGAGCTCTCCCAGTAGAGAGGGTTTCTTTGGAAGAGTGAAACAAGACAGTGGCTTTCATGGCATGGTACAGAGAACACCTATACAGGTAAAAATGTTTTTGATGTGCCTTTTTATATTAAAAAAAAAAAACAGTTAATCTTGTTTGTTTGACAAAGAGCTTACTTAAAACAATATGACAATTTAGGTTGTGCAACTTTTGTGAGCGTTTTATTTATTTATTATTTTTTTTATTTATTTTTTACAATAATACAAAGAGCTGTGACGTCAGAGTTTAATAAGTCCAACCTTGTGTCATCTTCATTGTGTAATCTATATGACCAATGAAAGGAAACTGTTCAGAAATTAAAATAGTAACATATCTTGACAATCAATAGTGCTGTCTCAGCCAATGTTTAAAAATGTAGTCTGTTTTGTCATTTGTTATTCTGGTTGTGCTGTCTTTGTAAATATGCACTGTTTTGGCTGCTGGTACTTTAGTGAGGCTGCTGCTGGTAGGAAAAGGACACATAAGCAGTGTAGTGATTTAAAGCCTGGCATGTGTAAAACTAAGTGTAGGTGCAAATGCAGGCTTTTACGTTTAATATTTTAATGGCTTGGTTTTCTGTTCTCAACATATCATGTAGCTTTATATTAGATTTTTTTAGTTCTTGAAGTTTTATATTGGGTTAAGCGCATTCAAAAATTCAAGAACAAGTGAGTAGTACTTTTTACAGGATGTTGAAAACTAAGATTTAAATCATTTTCAGGACCCATCCATAGTGGTAGCAGGTAAGAGCTTATCCAGTAGTTTGCCTACTGCCAAGACAGCATCTCAGATAGAGCAAGACTTGAAGCAGATGTTAAGGACACCACAAGCAAAAGCCATCACTGTGGAGGAACTTGAAAGAGAAATGCAAACTGGTGTTATGTCAAATCAATATAATACTCCCAGAAGTGTGCCACCACAACAAAGGATAGCTACCCAGGCAGGTCTACAACAGGTACCACAGGTAAGAGAAGTGGGAGATATAAGCAAAACGTAAAAGTATGTTAGTGTTCTCTTCATACCAGTAGAGAAAAAGGTCATTTGTCTTCAATATGAGCTTCTTGAAAAATTAAGTATTTCTCATTCTGTTGTGTAGTGCTGATCTCAAGTGGAATAATTAGAGTGATTGTAGAGTTTTTTTTTTTTTTTTTTTTTTNTGTAGAGTTTTTTTTTGTTTTTTTTGTATTTACTTTTGTAGAACTTTATTGTTCTTATATTTGCCAAGATTCATTTGTTAGTCAAGTATCAACTTTTGATCATTGTCTGTTTCCCTGTCTTTCAAAACAACAGCAATAGAATATTTAGTATAACATAGAGCATGCAGTCTGTCCTTTGATAACTTTATAGAATAATTTGTTATAATAAATTTGAACATTTATCTTGTCAGATTGTTAGTACAGTTGACGTCAATGTATTTCTATCAGCTCCCAGGCTCCAGTCTTCAGCAGCTGATGTCCAGTGTGTCTGAGATGGGGCGTACTTCACCAGCACAAGTAGTACCTCAGGGTAGGATGTCACCAGCAGCAGCCTTCAATATCCAGACTCTGAGAGGGTCACCACAAGCCATGGGTAATTTTTGCCGTATTAGCTCTATTTATGTTTTTAAAAAAGAGTGACTTTTTATTGCTGTAAATTTTATAAAGTTTGGTTTTTCTTTTTAGAAAATTGCAAATTCATCAAATTATATTACTTTTGAAACTGACTTTAATTTGATTTGCCTTTTTTTCTTAGTGAAGAAATTTGAAGTTATTATTTTTACTGTTTTCAGAAGAGAAGAGTGCATTTTGCATGTGTTGATGCTTTCTTATGCATTATACTAACATATCTAACCTGTGTGAAAAGAGTGGTATTTTAGTGCAGTTGAATATCAGTGAGCGTGAGAAAAAAAGGTTTTGCCAACTGTGAAGCATATGCTTTGGTGTTTCAGGCATGCAAACGCCTGCCAATCACAGGAGTGCTGCTCGCACCCCATCCCCGCCCTTACAGCGGGTTGTGTCACCTCATGCGGTGTCCTTTCCAATGTCCCCTTATCAAGCTCGCCTCATTTCTCCATATACAAGAGTCACAGGGTTGGGGCTGGCTGGTAAATGGAACTTTTGTTGTACTGTTCATCACTTATTTTTGTTTGATTTATTTTACTATAATTATTTTATTTATTTTTTATGATGCTATATTCACTACATCGATTGCAGGAAAAACATTTCTAAATTATGCATGTTGGTTTTATGTTATTGGTTTGATGTTTCCTTTTTTAATCAAATATACCATCAGGCCATGTATGAACATATACATTTTTGTAAATATGCATGTTTAGTAGTAGAGGTAGTAGAAGTAATAGTATGTTTAATATACAGTAGTAGAAGTAGTAGTAGTTGCAGATTCTAAAATAATCCAACTAATTTGCTTTTAACTGGCTGTAGCAAACATAACCTGCTTCTGTTGTGTATGCTTCATCTTAATTTTTGGTCATTAAACAAGATAAAATATACATTTCATGAAACTAACTATTTTTACAGCTGGTCGAATCTCACCTACTCAGATGCTGCTTGGCAATCGAATGATGAGCCCCCAGGTGGTTCTACAGGCTGGCAGGCACTCCCCACCCCCAGGTCACCCCATGATGACCAGTCCCATGTTCTCAAGGTCAGTTGGTAATGAGTGTCTTCATATACTTTTATACCTCATAGAAAAATAATATATTAGGGAGGCATGAGTTAAGAACTGTGTTATCACCTGTAATTTCAGCCTGCTGGTTAAGCAGGTACATAATATGTATATTTCTCTATGATCCCAGTCAGTAGATTGACTTCAAACTGTCTTGATTTTAAGGCTGCCTCCTACCCCCATGGCAATGAGTGACCCGTCACACCTGCATTCCAACAGAGCTAGAATGATGCATCAGGGACAGGCCAGACCCCCCATGATGAACAAGTAGATCTAACTTGCATTTTCTTAAAATATGAGTGTATTGGTTTGAGAGCACAATTTGAATCTCAGATGTGTGACTATTTTACACTGATAACAAGGAATCTATGAATCTTAAAGTTATGGTTTAAAGTAATTATTTTCTTTACTGATAAGAAAGTTTAAATTGGATATATTTAAATTTCAATATTTTTGAATAAATGATTTTAATAGAAATAATAATTATTGTCCATTTAGCCCAAATCGCAACAGACCAGCTTACCCTCTACAACAGCAGCAGCACTGGCAGCAACAACAACAACAGCAGCAACAACATCATCTGCATCAACAGCGTGGGGACTACCAGCAGCAGCGTGGGGACTACCCGCAACAGTATAACAATTACCAGCACCGGGATAACAACCAGCAACATTGGAATAGCAACCAACAGCAGCGAGGGGATTACCGACAAAGGGATTATCACCACCAACAGCAGAGAGATCATCATAATGGTCCTGGGCAGCAGAGATGGAAAAAAAGAGATGAGTATGCTGATCTCATGACACAAAAGGAGAAAGACTGGATTATCAGGATTCAGTTGATGCAGCTGCAGACCGAGAACCCTTTCTTGGATGATTATTATTACACAGTATGTCCAGCTTGTTGTGTTGTAGTCTATTTTCACATTAAAACTGATAAAGGAAAATCCAGACAAATGATGAGTTGGTGCTGTTCATTTGTTCAAATAGTTATCAGATTTTAATGTTTTATGTAATTTGATAATCTTAGAGTTTATTATGAAAATGCATATTTTTATTGTGTGGAATAGTGTTATGTCATGGCTTTTTATTTGCAAACCCTTTTTGTCAGACATACATGATGAAAAAGATGGCTAAGGAGAGAGAAGCCCAGCAGGCTGCTCAAGCTGAAGAGGAAGAATCCAAGGAGCCAAAATTATTGCTGCCTCAGATAGCAAAAGTGGAAACAAGGACTTACAGGCCAGGTTCGTTGTGTAATCGTTCCCACAAACTTTAAGAGTGCTCAGTTTTATAACCTTCAGTGAATTTCAGTTTTGTGTTGTGAGTTGAGCCAAAGGTATTGCTCACAGCTAAGTGTGATTTGATCAACCTGGTGGACATGGTAATGAAGATAGATCGATGATTTTTGCTGAATTAGTTATTCTTACACGAATTATACTTTTTTAGTCTTGAAAAACTTTAATTTACATTTTGTTTGATGGTCCACCATTCAAATTTAAAAACAGATGGACACTGTTTGCTTTTATTTTTCATCCTTTATCTTTGTAATCAGTGAAATATTTACTTGTCCTGTCTTTGACTTCAGCCCAGTTTGAGAATGCTCTTGGTCGGCTGACATCATCCAGTGTTCACAATCCTCGACAGATCTTGGACATTGCCAGCAGTCCCCATACCCATGCTGAGGAAGGAGAGTATAAGGGAAAAGATCTTAGAAAATACAGGGAAATTCTCATTGATGTTGAACTTGTGAGTGTTCAAGGATGGAGAAAGAATGGAGAGTCATTTGCAATATGTTAAATTCTAGACAGCAATTTATTGATGTCATAGATATATGTATAGATAAAAGATGAATTGAACAAAAATGCCCCGAGAATATTTCTGGAGACAAGTAAATAATTTGATGATTTTAAAATTATAAAAAAATATATATATATATTTTTTTTCTTTTTGTTTTGCCAGGCATATACATTGTTACTGGACATTGAAGATATTGAAAAGAAAGTCCTTGCTCTCCCAGATGAGGCTAGGTATGCTAAATAGACTTTCAGAAGAAATATATGTATATACAGTTCTGAACATTATCATGGATGGAATTATATTTTAATTGTTTTGATAATATTTTTAGAGCTGAAGAAATTTTCAAACCAGTTTTTTTGATAAAATTGGAACTGGAGAGTTTTATATTCCAGCAAATATACACAGTCTTGGTAAAAATATTTTATGATTTTTAATTTTAGCAAACCACTTCTCCAGGAGAGGAGGTCTAAAATTGGAGAGCTGTATACTAAACTGCATGTTGATGATGATCGTTTCACCCACCTGATGATCATTAGAAAAGGCAAGAAGTTAGTAGCTAGGAGTATGACACTTTTTGATAAGGTAAGCAATACCAGCATAAGATGAAATGGTTTCTACCCATTTCCACTTGCAACAAATGAGCTTATTACAAAGAACAAGGGTTCTAAATCAAAGCCCATTGCAACTCTGTCTAGTAAAGATAATTCACTGGGATTTATCAAGTGTCAGGAAAATGTGTTAAGGTCCAAATAATAAATTGTTTGTATCAAAATAAAGTGGGTTTTGTTAATATTCTTGGTTCAAATTGAAAAACAAAACTATACAAATTAAATTTATTGAAATTGTGTAATACACACCATTTTATGATTTGTGTGTCTTAATTGAGATTGTCTTTACTTTACAGGAACAAAACCAGTCCATAGTGTCTGCTGTCATCCAACACTTAGCTCACTTGATTAAAAAGGATCAGACAGACAAGGTAAAGCTTTAACTTTTTTTCTTGGTGTATGTAGACATATTTTTGGAAGAGGTGGTATTGAAAGGGGGGAGGGTAGATTTCAATTTATAAACTGATTTAAGACCACAGCTTATATTCTTTTTTATTAAATATATTAGGCGAAAGCCTTCTGTTCCATTATTGTCGTTATCAGTGCCTTTATTTTCCAAATTTAGGTGTTGCACCATCTCCATGACCCAGTACACAGAACTATTAGTGCTGTGGACATGGAACTGCTGGGAAGATTTGCACAAAGTCTGTGTACAGTACAGAAATCAGGACAACAAGATAGCATAGGACTCATCTTGCAGAACAAGGTATGTGTAGAAAGATCCCTGTCTACATACAAGACAGTGATGGTATTGTTAAAGAGAAACCCACAGTAATTATTAGAATGCTTTTTTTAGGCCCATTCCCAGGAAACACCATCAGTCCATGTGGGTTGGTTCAACTCTGCTAGGACTCTTGCTGAGTGCAGTCGGCTTGACTTAATGACCCTGCCTCCTGGTGTTGAGTAGCATACAGAATATGAGTGCATAAGAAACAAGGAGGTATGTCATTCACTGGAGCTGATTGCACTCAGCAAGAGTCCCTGCAGAGTTGAATTGATCTACAAAGACCCATGGTGTCTATGGGAATGGGGTTTAGAGTGGTTCACCACCGAGTTCATTATACAGCACTTACTCATGGGTAGCTTGCTTTGGACCATGTACAGAACCTTTAATGTTCCTTTCCAATCCTGCCATGAGGACTGAAATGAAATGTCTTTTATGTGCTCACGAACAAAGCATTTTAATCCGTAGGTGATGTTGTGTTGGCCAAAAGTCAGTAATTTGCACAAGGAGCCCTGGAACAGTCTCTAACATTTCAAACAACCCTTTACAAAACTATTCATTCTCTTTCAGTTTGGAGCATCTACAGTTTACAGTATGCTGAGTAGAGCTGAGACCTTACATGAGGAGGATCCTCTGGACAGTCAGGATAATCAGCTACAAGACAAGTGGTAGGTTCAGCATATTATTACTGTAGCTTACTCTTTTCATGTATGCAAGAGTCAAGGCAATTATATTTTGCTTCCCTTTCATCTCTCCTATTTTCATTTTTCCTCCAGCTAATGTGTTATTTTTATTTTAGGTCATCATTTGTTAACAGAATAGCAGAGGTTGTTGGAAAAACAGCAGAAGGCAGTTTAGCTGTTTCCATGCAATCATTTCCAAAAGTGCCACCCCACCTAGAGAGACTGGCCAATAAGAATATCTACCTGGAAATTGAGAGCAAATTGGAAAAGTTGTGTTCAATGAAACAGACATCTTCGTGAAAGGATAACTCTAAACAGCAAATCATGTTCAGAGCAGATAATTTTCTCAGTTCCCTTGTAGTAAAGAACAGATGGGAGCTTAATATATGAATAGTATTGAAATTTACTTACAGATTTTTTTTCAAAGGATTTGATTTTTTTTAGATTTGTTTTAAAGGGAGCTGTGCTGTCTTTCTAATTAAGTTTCAAATTAATTAAAGTCTTGTTTCACATCAAGTGAGATCTGCACTGTGTTTAATTTGCATCGTTTTTGTGAAAGCTTTAAGATGTTCATTTGGTGAAACTGTTTCTTAAAACAGCTACATTTTTCAGGTCGAAAAGTTTTTGTTAATTTTTATGATGTGTTAAATTTGTAATATGCGATTTATGAAAACTGGATGATTGATACTACATCTTTGCATATATGAAGTCAACTTCAAGTCCATTTAAACGTGGTGATAAGAAGGAACATATTGGAAAAATATAGCATATTATTGACATCCAGTTGTCAAGAACAAATGACCTTTGAATGTAGTGTTTCTGCATAGGTTTGAATGATTTTACTCATGGCTTGCATTAATGATAGTGTACAGCTGGATTTGTTTTCTATGTCAGTATATTATTATTTAGATTTTTTCATTTTCTACTGAAAGCCTTAAATGCTGCTGATAATTTCTAGATGGTTTATATTATTAGCCCTGTGCAATGGCAGTAGGTCTGTGGGGCGGTATATGTTAAGCCCAGGCGACATTTGTTATGCTAGAACCAGACCCACTACTGTATGGAATGTTTTCCTTGAAAAAGGTCATTTTGTACACATTTGTAGAGCTTACTGAAAAAAGTTTATTTTTTTTAATATTAGGCAGTAATAAAAGATTCGGTGTAAATTTCCGTTTTGGGGTTATTTGTCTAGATACTTCAACGAATTAAAATTGCATATTAGGTTGATTTTCAAATCATATGACAATGAATCATGCCCATTTAATTATTTATTTCAGACACTTTTTTATTATGTACAGACACAGATGTGTCTGTACATATTGCCATCACCTGCGTCTGTCGTCGCCGATGGCGATGCCGATGGCGATGGCGATGCCGATGCCGTGCACTTTCCTTGTAAACACGATAAGTGGAACACAGTTTTATTTTTTGCTTTTATATTTACAGAGCTGATGAATATTCATAAAACGCAGGTCAAGTTCGAAAATCAGCATGATCGGGCCATTATAGTAGAAGTTATGCTGTTTTTTCACTTTTCAGCATATATGCAACCCTGTAAACACATTTTAAGGAAAACCGTTAGGTCTGTTGTCATGAAACTCACAGGAGTAATCAATCTTACTAAAACGCAGGTCAAGTTTTAAAATCGGCATGATCGGGCCACTATTTTAGTAGTTATGCTTGTTTTCCACTTTTCAGCATATATGCAACACTGTAAACACAATATAAGAAAAACAGGCCAATTGTCATTAAACCTACAGGAGTGGTCAATCCTGCTAAAATGCAGGTTGAGTTCAAAAATCAGCATAATCGGGCCATTATTTTAGACGTTATGCTGTTTTTTTCACATTTCCTCAGATTCAGTTCTTAGGCATGTTAATAGCCTTATTATTTAACTAATTAGATACGTAAAAGTGTTTGTTTGACATTTCCTGCATCTTTACAACATTGTTAGTTGATTATGTAAAAATGATGGTAAACTTAATATCTTGTATTGTGTAATAAAGTGTCAAAAATGGAAGTAAACTCAAATCATTTCAGTTTGTCAGATTCAATCATTCACTATGTTGAGAATCTCAGAATGGAGGAAATTGGACATTTAACACTGCTCTATTGATATTTTTCNTGTAGAGCTTACTGAAAAAAGTTTATTTTTTAAATATTAGGCAGTAATAAAAGATTCGGTGTAAATTTCCGTTTTGGGGTTATTTGTCTAGATACTTCAACGAATTAAAATTGCATATTAGGTTGATTTTCAAATCATATGACAATGAATCATGCCCATTTAATTATTTATTTCAGACACTTTTTTATATTATTTTTATTGGATTACAAGAAATTTTATTCAGCCCCTAAAATGCATGTAAAAACAAAAGCCAGAAAGTATGCTGTGATACACTTGTCAAGCCACAGACCTTTATGGGGCTTTAGATATCGTGGTGTCAAGGTAACAAAAATAAGGTGCAATGTCGCTTTTAAATTCATAAAAACCCCAAATGATCCATCACCTTTGACATTTTTTATTTGCACTAGCACCTTCGTAAGAAAAGCCCTATGGGCATCCTCAAAGGTCTCGTCTACAGCAGAGTAGGTAATTAATTTCACTAAAAAGTGAAATGGAGTCCTTGTGTTGTCCTCAGAGATACCAAACAAGAGACTCCTGTCAGTTTTCTCTGCTCAAATTGTATTGGGTGCATAGATATTTTGGACAGCTGTCCTTAGTCTTGATGTTACAAGGCAACAGTGCTTATAAAAAGTTTATTTTCAAAGAGAAAGTTAACAAATCACTTTCTTTAATGTTTGTTCCAATAATTTATTTATTACTGTAAAATAATATTTTCTTTTACATCTCCTTCCCCATCTCAGGGGAGTTTGCTTTTCATCTTTTCAACCTCTTGCTTTGTCTGATCACCATATAATGTTTAATTTTGTTCTAACTTTATAGGTTTTACAAAATTACCCACTAGATTTTAACAATATTTTTACCACTTTACACAAGAATTCTTTGGTAGTCCTCAAAATGCTAACACTACAACAAATGTGAGAATTTTGCACTCAATATATTCTGAAAATACTATGGTCTTCAAGAATATGTTGTTGTGCTTATGTCAAGGTTCTGAGAGAATCATTTTACAACCAAAGCATGACAGATATAAGATGGGCAAATTATATATGGTTATAGTATAGGATTCACTGTAAATTGTATAGTGTAGTTTTGTGAATTATAACCATAATATCTAAAACATTTTGAACTTAATAATATGCACTAAAGAACATCAGCATTTGAGATCAAGCATGGAGGCTTGTGAATTGCTATGGCAAGATATGCTAATCAATTTCGAGGAGCACCAAAATTCAAGAAATGGCTCAGAAAACTAATGAGTACAAGGTGAAACGCATTTTAGACAGATAAACTTCAGAAGAGGAAGTAAAACATGATTCATAGAGTAATTTGTGACAATTTCTTACCCCCTTGGCCTAAGGTTATTTATCTATGCTCTTAAACAAGTACTAAATTAATACGGTTTACAAAAAACTGACTCTGATGAATGCCAGTTCACCTTCATTTTGAGTATAATTTGCATAATTCTGATTTGTCTCATTATTTTTCACCATTTAATACTTTTGTACCCTCCAACATAGAAAAAATAAGTCATTAAAAAGCAGTTCAAAACAGTTATGCAAATATATTATAACACAAAATTAAGGAATAATTGGCAGTTCCTTGAGAGCCACTTTTTGTGGAATGACCCATATGTATTTACACAGAATCCATTACAATAGTCAGTCTAATAACATTTATTTTAAATTAATATCTCATGAAGTTGAATATTGGCAAGCAATTGCGCACTTAATAGTAACAGTTCCCTTGGATGTGTAACTTCTCATCGTTTCAGCACCACTTGTCCTCTTTAATACACCTCTCATATACAGAATAAGAGGATATAAATAAAACATCTCGTAGAAGAGAGGTTTACAGAATCTTTCATGGCACAATCATTTACCCTCACATCTGCGCAATTCTTTAGACTGAGGTATAACACTTGATGACTCTCACTGGAATGATTAAATGATTTTCTACTGAATCTAATGCTACCATTAGTACATTGTCTCACTTATTAACATAACATACATTGTCTCACTTATTAACATAACATACAGATAATTTTGTGGCATGGGAAATGTGCCTGTGCATTTGTGTGTACATGCACATACCTTCAAGTAAACAAACAGTTAATATACAGACTTCTTTATCTTTACAGTAAGCTCTTCTTCAGTTAACATCTTTAAACCATTCAGAATGTCTCTGAATAAAAGTGACAAAAGGGAAAACAAACATACAAAGGGATAAAAAGGTGAGAACACCAAAATGTGACACAGTATGGCAGTGAGAAAAGCGAGGATTTGAACATATATGTAAACATGTACATCAATCACAGCAGTCCAAGAAGCAATTATAAAAAATATCATTTGACAAAAAATTGGTGACATGAAGAGTTTATGCGTGACAACACAAACAGCCAAAGGAATGAGAAGAGTTGAGCATTAGAAGACAGAAAAGGCTACGATACATAAGTTTCATTGATGCCACTGATTAATCTAGCTTTGCTTTAACACATTTTGAAGGCAAAATGTTGTAAACGCTGAGGATTTCTCACCAAAAATGTAGATCTTACAAGTTATAAAACACAAGATTTTACCATTTATCCATAATGATCAATATTAATGATAAAGTATTCAAGAAAATATGTTTTTGGTGAATATTTATGTCAGCGCTTAAATTTGACATTTGTGTTTACACAAAAATAAATTTGATTTTAAATTAGTCATTTTACAGTGTCATACAATGGTTAGCTTTCAGGGCCACAGTTTCAGTTTTAGATATACATATGAAACTACACAAAAAGGAGTAAATTTTTTCACTGTCATTTTGTTATTTGAAATCTTTATACACAGTCATACTTTTGTGGCTAGCTGGACTCAAAAAGTTGAATATCTAACTTGACAACAACTTCTCCCTTCTCCACTTCATGGAGCAGAAGCCTTTTGGTGACTGGACCTTTCTTTTCTTTGTTTTCTTTCAAGATGTCTGCTATCCTTATCTCTGTCCTTCCTAAGAAGTCTATAAGATAAAAAAATCTGAATGAAACTGTCATATCAATCAGACTTCATACACAATGTATTGTTAGTATTGCATATCAAATAGACATACTAAAACACCACAAGCATATATTTGAAAACATGCTGATTATTGATCTACTTACATCCTGTGAGTGAAATTGTGTATGATTTTCCACAGATTCACTAAGTGATCATAGTCTGTAGGGTAAAATGCAACTTAATCAACCACACTAAGATTCATTCAGGGGGATCTGTCCCAAAAAGAACTTGACTAAATTTGACCAACAATTTAAGACCCAAAATTTCTTTGTACTTAAAAAAAAGTAACAGCCCATGTAATGGGGATATTGAATCTGTTTTACAAAAAGTAAATAACTTTTAAGTCTGATAGTTACTTTCTTTTAGTGAACTAATGCAGATCGAAACCTGTCCTGAAATAAAACAAAGTTTTTGTCTTAAAATTAAGACCAACTTCTGACTTTCATTGTGAAACTGGACCTGGAAGACTAAATTAAACTAAAAGCCAGCATAATTTGTTATATCATCTTGGTTTATGCAGCTCATTTGCTGGGTGTCCATCTTAGAGACACCCCCCTTGATGATTGTCAATGTACCTTTAACACACACACACACACACACCACACACACACACCATTTTCTCACCATTTGGTGTGAACAAATCTCTGTCAAACACCGTGATACACAGCACATCCTCCTTGACATCCTTCACCGTGAACTGCATGGAGGAGTTCCACTTGGGATTTAGGGTGCTGTTGATCACTTTCGTCTTGTGTTCCTGAGAACCCATGCTCACCTCACAGTAGGGGTCACTCTTGCCTAGGAATCGGAATATTAATCTTATAACCTTTCTGTAATGGACATTTTCCTTTTTTAAAGTTACTACAAAGGTGAATCTGCTTTTAAAAAAACTAAAAATTTTATTTAGGAAACCTGTACCTTTTATTATTTTCACTGACTTTATGTGTTTAATTTCTTTTTGAAAATTTGCTATAAGAGGTTGTGCAAACACTAGCAAATTTAATCAAATGAGACACAAGGTCAAGCATTACACACATATAAAAGTGAACTAATGTTTTGACTATTCATTAATTTATAATTCAATCTTCAGAACTAGATTATTCTTAACTGCTGGAAATCAATTTAAAATCTGCTAACCATAATCATTAAAATATGAGTATTACAAAAATTCCAAATAAAATGTATGATCTTTTATAAGAGCATACAATGAATGGTATATTAGTGTAAACTAATCATTGGATTGATAAATCATTTTGTCCCCTAATTACAAACCATGTTAATAACTGGCATTCACTCAATAATAAATTTAATATATTAAGTTGCCTACCAGTGTTGCCATGAGTCTTGAGGTTACATCCTTCTACTATGACTACTAAAAGCCTGCCCACTGCTGGGACCTTCCTCACTGTCAGACAGAACAAAGCAAGAGAGCATGCCACAAATTAGTAAGGACAGACAAACTGGAGAGGGGTACACACAATAATGAGTAGTGTTCTTCATATGGAAGTGACTCCTTCAGAAAGATTCACCATGTTCAAATTGGCTTGTAATACTCTGACTTCCTATTCAAATGCATGCATTGTCAACATAAAGATCATATCAAAAATAGCATGTATTCCAGAGTACTTTTAAACAGCCAGTTTTTTTTCTTCTTTTCTTTATTTATGTTTTTTACAGTTCTTTTACGCTTTCCTTTCCTTGGATGGTTTTGCAGGATGTAGAGAAGATTGTGAGATAAATGAAAAATCTTTGTCTTTCCTATTTATATTTCCATTGTTTCAGTGTATCAATTTTTTCAGATTTTGGTGAATCTTTGCGAATCAGTACATTTCTCATATCTACTCAGCATTTTTTACTCCTTGTTGTCAGCAGCTGTCATCTATAGCCTGGAGGCAAGATGTAATATTTTAGTACGGCAGAAGTTAAGCATTTTAGCGATAAGAAAAAAATGGCAAGGATAGCTGTGCTCCTCATGTGCAATAATCAAACCACAGGACAGCAAAACGGTATGCAAAGCAAGTTTAAGGCCACCTTTTTCATGTAATGTTTTACAAACTTATTTTTTTCCAGATTGTGATGTCTGGGGTCAGAAGAAAGTTAAAATTTGTAATTATGATTTGAAAGTAGAAAAATGAATGAAGTTTTTCTGCTGATACTTATATACCAACGTTTATTGAAGATGATTACTCATTGCTTAGTTAATTTATTTATAAGTCATGGCACAGATTTTTATGATAAGAAAAAGATGTTTCTGGTTGGTCTTTTGTCAAAATCATTATCATTTATTTTCTTTTTTGGCAATATCTCTATTATCAAAAGACCAAGCAAGTATTTACAAGCTTGTAAAACAAGAGATTAAAAAGGTGGCCTAATCATTAAATGAAAAGCTTCAGGGGCATAAATTTACCATAAACATGAATATTTTAATTTCAAAATGTAAAATGAATTTAACTTAGTCAAAAAATAATTTTCTTTATCCTTTTTGGTAAAAATAACTCATATTTCAGATAAGCACATTTCAATCTTTTATAAAATGTATATAAAAATATTTTCTTTCTATCAAATGAAATAACACCACTGAAGCTTGTGGCTTAAGATAATGAGACACACAAAACATAAATGGTAAGGATAAAAAATGCAGCACTGGAAAATTAGTCAATGGCCACCGGCCTAAAAGAACCTCACAACCTGGCAAAACAACCAGCAGCCCAAATCAGATGTCAACTGCAGCAGACCACACCAAGTCTGAAGCAGACGATACTTTTCTTACCATTGGCATCGCTGGCCACAAGGTTTTTCCCTTCCTGCACAATGACCAGCAGGCGACCCACACCTCGAGGCATCTTTTTAGCTACTGAGAAACCAAAGCACATGCTGTGTAATGTAAACACTTCTCCAGTTAAGAAGATGGAGAGCATGAGAGTAAGGCAGGTGAAGGAAAGTGGAGGGAGGTGGGGGAGGGAGGCATTCTGTCTATTTGTCATGTACAGAAATTGGGCACTCCAGTTTGGTAAGTTCTACACTCAATAGATCAGAGAAGATAATATGTACGGTTGATTCTGTCAATATCATCTATGAAATAATACATGATTGTATGAAAAAAAAACTTGATCCATGGATGGGAGGATTGAAAAGTCGAAGAGCTTGATAGCACCTTCCTACAATCCCTTGTTGTAAGACTTTTATTTAATTCTGTTTCTTGTAACCATGTTCCTTGTAACTATGTTAATGATGATTTGTCTTTATCCAGGTATTCTTAAAAATATAGAATTTCATGTTAGAATTGGGTTAAATGGCATGCAGTCTACATTTCGTTACTTTTTTCAATTGCCTTTTTTATCATGCTGTAAGTCAAGGGAAAAAAAAGTAAAATTGCTAGGATTTAGTACTGACACACCCAAAAATATACCATATCATGTAAAGTTAACATCTTGGTTAGTGATCCATTAACCTATATACCATATATATATATATATATATAGGGTATATATATCATATATATATCATGTATGCCAGTCATGCTAGGTATATACAATGGATTCCATAGACACCCTGTCTCCTTACCCTCCTTACAAGCCATGAGATTGGCACCCTCCAAGACAACAAATAATAGCCTCCCGACACCTGTTGTACGCATTTGACGAGCTAGTGAAAGGGCACACACAAGATTAAATATCCTTTTATAATTAATAGATACAGGTTTAGAATGACTGAGAATCATTTTTCCAGTTATGTATGAATATGGTAGTCAAATTCACATGTATTTTTAATCTGAGTTTTCAAAAGTGGGACTCTGGAGAAGCTTTGTTGATGTTTGTGCATAGGTTACAATTATTATGAAGTCCAAGTGTAAATAGTGAATCTGTCAAATAAGAGGACGGATTGAACTTCAGATCACTTTTTCATTTCTGCTGTGACCTATAGGTCATGCATCACATTCCAGACTAGTCTGTGACAGATTCACTTTATTAACTGTCATCTGAAAATGTTGACAATTAAACATTGCATCCATTTATCAAATAGGGAAGTTTGTATCTGGAAAATTGATCAGTGGTATAGTCAGTTCACAAATGAAAGGAAAAATGAAAGGAATTGACAATGAAATGAATATAGAATGATATTCTTGTATCAAAAGAGAAATGACCATATGAGAGAATGGCAGAATAGTCATGTTAGATGCTCTTATTTTAGTTGCAGAGCAGAGGATAATTTAGATTGTGTAAATCTGAAACAAAACTTGTGTGACATTTTAATACATCTAAATACAGAATTCATGATAAAAACAAATTTAAGTTGCTATTTTGCTGAAAAAAACTACAATATCTAATGTGCACTTTGATAATAACATATCTAAAACATAACTTATTTACAAATAACTGGTTTAACTGAAATATGGTCTGTTAAAAATTTCTTAACCAAAACTTCATTTGATGTTATGTGTGATAAACAATAAGATAACAATGAATTCTTACATGAGTAAGCCCTCTCCCTTTTCCTTCGGTCTGTTTCAAGGTATTCTTTGGAAGCTGCTGCTATCTTTTTCACCCAGCTGTCCCTAAGAAGACAGGCAAAAAAGTTAGAAAAGAAACACCCTCATGCTTACATACCTAAACAAAACATACATCTAAAATAAAGACTTATCTATAGTTCTAGATAGCTATCAGTGCTCCTTCCCTGAAAGCTGAATTTAAGAATTTATATATTATCAACTTTAAGACTTACATGAAAAGAAGTAATAATGTAAATGAGAAGAGTTTATGACAGATAAAACACCAAATCCTCTAATAATATCAAACTGAAGAAAGTGTACTGCACCTCTCCAGCTGTGTTAGACTTTTAAAACTGTACCACCGGTCTATATGACTGAGCTGAAATACTGTAGGGTCCTCCTCAGCACCTTGGGGAGCCTTCACTGCCACTTCATTCAGGAATATAGGCTGATGAGAGAAAAACTGTCCTTTTAATATTGTATCAAAACAAACTACACTAAAGAAGTACTTTACTGGATGATATCAAAATCAGCATTTTTATTAACATCAGTCACAAGTTTTATAAATCTTAATCAAGGAATCAAAGAATAAATTAATAAATAAGTAACTGGAAGTGCTCAACTTAGCTACAACTGTTTCTATAACTTTCTGCAAGAATCTGTCCTTATTTGTTTAAATCCATGCAAAATTTCCAATGCTTACAGTTTTGTACATCTTGTAATGCACTTTGGTCTCTGGGTCAAAGCTAAATGTTGACACAACACTTCCCAGAGGGCGCTGGGGTTGTACCAATAATAAGAAATCATTGAAAAGAAACCCAACCAGCTCTTTATTGCTTTTGGCCTGAAATATGAAAGAATGTGATCTCTTAACATCTTTATTGAACAAACCACATATTCATACTGATTACAGTTAGATAAACGTGGTGATAAATGCAAGGAGGCAAAGCAAATTCATAATTAAATTTCAGTAATTTCTATGTTAAAGCTATTACAGTTATAGTATATCTTAGCATGTTCTGGAGTTTATTTTGAATTACTAAATGAATTACTCTATTCTCTTTCTCTCCATGTAAGTTTTGTTCTCAAATTTAGTGCACATCTTAGCATACCTTGTATATAGTTCCTGAATAAAGAAGTTTACGTGGTCCCAAGCAGTTGGTGACTGAATTGAAAGTTATTTTCTGAAATTAAAAATTACGTTAGTTTAAAAAGTGATATGCAACTGCATTTTGCTGAGACTGCAAATTTTGGCTATAAAATATTCAAAGTCAATGTATTTTTCACTTAATAATTTTAAGACCTATTTCTTACCCATTTGCAATGGTTACAGGTCTTTTGGTACATCATTAAATAAGATACAGGTTTGAGAATGTTCGGTGAAAGTTTTCCATCAATATTCGAAATAATCTGGTCATGTTTGGGACAAGTGTGAGGGATAAACAATCCAAGGATAATAAATTAACAACACACCTCTGGTAGTCCTTCACATTGCACATGGTTTTGTATCCACTCAAGTTTGCTGGAGTTCTCCTGTTCCCGAACGCCTTCATTGACCTGGTCGCACAGCTCCTTGGCAGCCTGCAGGGCGTCCAGACAGTACTGGTAGTCTGGATGCTCCTCTGGAGTGTACTTCAGGATCTTAAGAAAAAAGTAAGAGGGTGATTATTAAGTCAGACAAACAAAAATTCATTAAAATAAAAATTAAATAATCATATAATACCACAATTCTAACCTGCTAAAAACCAAAAAAGTAAGTCTGACACATCAATAAGCTGATGACCTCTCATCTCTCCAAATGATTATAAGTTAGTTTAAGGTCATAGCTGGTAGAACAATATTTGTTAGTATTTTTTATCTTTTTCTTTCTTTTATGATATTTTTCTTGTTTCTGAAGTATGATATCTTCAAAGCATGTGTTACCTTCTCGATCATGAGTGGATACTTTGTGATCCTTTGCATGGGTTTGAGCAGAAAACTACTGAGAGGCATGCCTTTAGTTCGATGATCAGTGGAACATTTCTGTAGGGGAAAAAAAAACATACCCTTTAAAATAGGAATGCTTCATCTATTTTCTGTTCATAAATTATCCTTAAGTTTTAATTTTTTTCATATATTCTTATCTCAGTGACTAAATAAATATATTACTTTAAAACCCAAGCAGTGACAGGGTTGGGTATGACCCTTTTATTCATTTGGTCTAAGAAAATAACTAATTCAAAAATCAAAAGTGACTCAATGTACCACTACTACCACTTCATCATGAGTTCTTGGTTCTGACCTGACTCAAGGGTGTATACACATTTTGAAAGAAAACCATTCACAATCAACTTTTTATTTAATTTTATTTACCATATCATGCAAATAAACAAATGTTTTTTCTTAATGGATATATGTTTGAATATTAAGCTTTACCTTAGCTACTTCTTTAAATTGAGGACTGTTTTCTGTCTTCTTTTGAATCAGAGTAGCTGCTGTGAGTTGTCTACTGCAGAATCTAATGTAAGGGGTTAAATGTGGGAGCTGAAATAACAAAAGAATGACATAATTTATTTATTTAATTTATGTGTGCAATACCATGAAAGGAGTTCAATGTAACAAATAGCAATCTTCTTTTTATCTATTTTACATAAAACATTAAAGTCATAATAACTCTTCATTTTGGCCAAAAATTGGATTTTCCTGGAGTAAATGGCAATTTTCCCGTATTTACCAATGGTCAGCGACCCCATTCCTGCATTCAAAGTTAGTCCAGGGTTTTCTTCCTAAACGTTTGGTTTTTTATTAAAATCTCTTCAGAGATTTTAACTGACGGAGCCCACTCTGACATTGCATAGTCACGCGATATCGAGCGATAGTTTCTGGTGACCTACTTAAAACCGCAGGAAAAGCAGACAACAACAACACTACATAACAATAATATAAGATTCATAAGATATATTCGTCTTATTGTTCAAAATGCATTTATATCTACAATGTGTGCTATTCTGGGCTTTTCATTATCCAACGCACTGTATAAAAATCACAACTTACGTCTGCGTATTGCATCAGGCTTTTTGCGCCAGAAGTTATTTTGGTCTCGAATGAACGCGAGAATCCGCGTGACATCCCAAAGTCATTGGCAACAGATGCCTTAACAACCGGGAAGAAAGGCATCGAAAGCCCTATTGACAAGCACAGATTTTAGTTTTACGACAATAATGGCCGTTTTAGTGGTAAAATGCAATAGAATATATTTCCATGCGTTGTTTACAATGTATTTCTTGCGGTATTTTGATTCTCAAAGGAAGAGTTATTATTGCTTTAATATTTATCATTTTGATGATTAAAATTAATCAAACTTTTGTTCTAATTAAAGATATATTTTCAATTTTTTGACTGACCTTACTTACTTGACCAAAAAATGTAAAAAATGTTACTCACATTTTCACACAATATATCTCCTATAATATGAATTGGTGCACTTCCACTCATTTTCTTTCGAACTCTCATAGACCTTAAAGTGAGGAATATTTTATAGTACAGAGACTAGAATGAATGTGTGTAAGCAAACTAAATTAAACCACAGATATAGAAAATCTGTAAGAGTCACATATGGTTTCACTAAAAATAGTTATATTTTAAATTGAAGATAAACAAGCTGTTATATTCTAAAATTTAATTCAAATCTGTAAGAATATGTCAACAGGTCTTTGCCAGATCTAATGTAAGGAGAAACCAAAAATAAAAACAAACTTACTTATTTAACTTAGTATTGCACACAATCAATTCTTTCCAATTCACAAATATGGAGTCTAATTCTGCTAAAGTGAGAACTTTGGCCTCTGCTAAAGGCCTGTAAAACACCTGAAATTATACATTTCATCATATTCTAAATTATCAAAACAGTAATTTTTTAACATAGAAGTAGAACTTTTTATCCAACAAAGGCTTCGTTCACATGCAATGTCTATTTTCTAAAAATCTATTTTCTATTTGCGGTATCTTGTAATCACGGTCTGTGCCCTGAATACCCCGCGGCGTAATTACTGGCATCGCTGAGAATTACAACTTTGGAAGTAACTGGCTCGCGCTGCCAGTAATTACGCCGCGGGATGTTCAGGGCACAGACCGTGATCACAAGATATACCGCGAATAGAAAATAGATTTTTAGAAAATAAGACATTGCATGTAAACGAAGCCAAAGATGTCACTCTTTCTCTTTTGTTAATTTAAGATAACAAAGAAGTAGTTTTGAATGAGAGTTCACCATTAAGGGATTTTGTAACAACCATTAAGTATGTAAAAACTATCAACAAGGATCCCTTACATCTAAAACTATGGACATGTCAGCATTGTAGCTCTCCTCAGTGCTCAGTAGTTCCTGGATGCAGTTCTGTCGCTGGATCTCTGTCTCTGATGTGTTAGCTAGGACAACTGGGTCGCTGGTCCCTGAAACCATTCACAGAAAACACATAACATGCATGCTCTGTTGGCCAATTTGTCTGAGTCAGGATAGCAATCATTACTACCATATCCTGCGCATTAATTTTTTTTTTCAATTGCATCTGGGCATTTGCTGATCAAGCATGTTTGTCCTTATAAGATTCTGGTTTCATTTGCTACATCAGAGCTCTATGTTCCTGGAACAAAACACTCTAATATCTTTCCTTTCCTAGCTATAATCAGTTGAAGATTCCTCTCTCGTGTTCCACGAGGTGACCAAATCCTTTGTGTGATGACTTTCTTAGCACATCCTGTCATTTTGAAGGCACCTCGAGTCAGTCATAAAAAATATTGGTTTGTTGGTAATTTTAGGTAATTGAAGTGTGATAAGCATTAGAGGTGAGCCTGAAGTTCAGTCTGACAACATAAATTTGAGAAAAACAACTGCCAATAATAAAAAAAGAGGACTAAAAGCATTTTTTGCTGACATATTTCCAATATATACTAATTCAAGTAAGAGGCAACAAAAGTTATGGCACACTGAATAGCTTTGTAGTTTGTGTAAACCAACTTTTGATGATGTTTCATAAAAGGGTGGACCATGAAATGAGCAACAATATGTACTTTTTTTTCTGATACATTTATTGAATTTTTAGACTAGTTTCCATGACCACATATCACATTTTTCTCATCGATAGACACAGACTGCTATGTACATACAAGAACAACTGGGCATTCCAGTTCTATATGTAGCATTTTTACATATATTAAAGCATAACAGATACAACACATACATTCTATAAGGGGCCATCATACCCTGCATAGCAAGCAATCACTAATTTTGATAAAATATGCAAATTAGTCAGAGTTCATCTACGTTATATTAAAATTACAAGTTTTTGATGTTGAAATGACCATGGAAGAGATAATATCAAGAAGACTTAAGATCTTGCACTGCTAAAACAAAATTAGCAGTTATTGAGGTGTTAAAGTTATATTATTGTTACGCAAATACTCATCAGATTACATTAAGTTCATGGCACAATAAATAGTTGTCTATCCTGTATTAACTTGGTTTTTGTTGTTAAAACAAACTGCTTTTAACTAGAAAATTGATAGCATAATATCTGCAAAACATGCACAATTACTTTCAATTTTAAAAATAAGCAATTTTTCGACAAGAAATAATCCCAGGTCCTCAAACATCCGACTTCTTCAGCACCTGACTCCTTATGTGAATTTAATATGGATATGTAATCCAATATGAAGAACACAAGTGCCTGAGCCACAAATTACAATATTACTACCATATGATTGCAACACTTTCTGACAGCACACTCACTAGACACATTTCAAAATCTTCTACTGCACCACTTTATCTAAGGCATGACGTTTACTTCTACAGTAACTATGTTTTCTTCTAATAACATGCAATATTTGCATAAACATGGTGTCGAAACATGGATTTTACTATCTTTTTCAGTCAAGTGAAAACTGTCCCAGTTGTTGTGGTAAACTTGCAACCCCCCCACCCCCACCCCGCCCAACCCCAAGAAATAAATAAATCAATCTATAATTCATCTAATGAAATCCAGGACTAAAAATCTGTATGACAATGCATTATCTGGCTAAAAAAAAATTCTTCAGGCATAGTCAGATTTTTAAACGCATATTCAGCTCCTGATATCAATTGATCTATAAGGTAACCTAAAAGTTATATTTCAATAATTCATTCCTATACATACTCAACAATTACAATAATACTTAATAATATTTCAACATATCTAAAATATGCAGATGGATCATGCGAAGTAAAAAATAAGAGATATATAACTTATAATTATCATATACAAAATGATACGGAGGGACTGAACACATTAGTATACATATAGGACTGTTAAGCATGGAGAACACTATGTCAGCAGTAATTATAGTCACACTTTTTCTAACAGGTCTTGACTGGCTTAACTGGTATTTGACCTCAGGTTTGGCCTTACTACCAACTGCTCATTAGCAGTTACTGCCAGAGAGACAACAATTCACCTTTTAATGTTGATTTCATCTGGTTATTCAGATTCAGTATTGAAGTACATTTCCTCTTGATATGCTGTTATCTACATTTGAAATTATCTAGCTGATTATTTCTTTATGATTAGAGAAGTCATGGCATAGTGCAAAACTTTGCAAGTTCTTGTTACCCGACTATCTGTCTTGATACTCAGTACACTTTTACATTTTCTTTGCACTCAATGACATGACTTTCTATCACTTCCATTGACGATATTGTTAGAAGGCATAAAATTCAAATCTATTTGGTGCTTCTGCTGCACATGCTTTGTAGACAGATAAAAATTCTCTATAAACAAGTTGTTTAAAGACGTTCTTCAAAGGTTGGAGGACATCCAACTTCAGTGGTTAACTCTAGAATTATGATCATTTCAAAAATCTGCACCACATAGAAGTACATTAACTTTTCTAAATATAGTTTGTATTTCATTATGAAGAAGGAAAATGAAATGGTAATATGCAAGTCAAGCTAAAAGCCCATAACCGCAAGAAAGAAGCCACTGCACAGCATTACGAAAGAGAACTCAGTCACAAAATACATAACCTCTCAAATGATTGGTTATAAATTACTAAAAACTATCCATGATTGCCATATCTAAAACAATGGATGGATCTCACCTGCCAATCATTTGAGAGGTTGAATGGTGATTGGTTGCCATCACCTGCCAATCATTTGAGAGGTTGGATGATGATTGGTGGTTGCCATGGGTTGGTGTCCGACACACCCAGACCCATTACCTTGATGCAGCAGCAGCAGTGGGGGACATAAAACTTGTCCAGCATATTACCATAAACATGTATTTTGTTATACAATAACCATATTTGCTCAAAGGAACGATGCAACATCCCTCTTTCATTACATGAAATCTCAAACACCGATGCAATGTGCTTTAAATAGTTCTTCGCATGCAAACTTTTGACAAGCAAGGAACAAATTTCTTCACCAAGCCATCTCGAGTTTTAAAACATGCACCTTTTCTTGTTTCCACCTCAATCTCTTTGCACTGCATCATCATCACTCTTTAGTAAAAAGCAGTAAAAAGTACCAGGATAACTTGATTTATTTTGCCTATGAGCAAATATGGAAATAAACCATCCAGTACTTCTTGAAGAAGTATTTTTGTTTTTGCAATTGTTTATTAATAAATTGTATTGCACAATCTCTGATAACTTCTCTGTGGACTGAGGTAATGGGTCTGAGGTGTGGCAGCACCGGTATCCCATCATGCAACAGTGTAAAAGGTCCTACAGCAAATAGAGATAAAGAGAAAATAAAATACACAGATTAGAACAGAACAGGTATGTGGTGGAAAAAAATTAAAAGGAAAACATTTGGATATTTTGTATAAATCAGTGTGCAAAAAATGGATTTGTACAATAAAAGCTATCAACTGTTGTGTGAATATATCGTCCAATAATAAGAACTTTCTACATTTATCATTTACAACTGTATGTTCAAAAGTGAACTTCTTTGATCATAATAATGTCATGCATGCCTAATTTAACAAATAAATCAAAGCACTAACATAACAGAAGACCTTTTACCAATAACTTTTCTGGAATTGCTTATGAAACTTCCCAAATCAGAATACCATGAAGCCATTAACCAGCTGTGCTTATACAAACAGTCCAGTTAGTGACTTAAATCATCAAACAGAACAAAGTGCAAAAAAAAATTAAGGTTCTACTCACATGAAGTGGGTGCAGGGGAAGGATTTGAAGCTAGTCTCATATCTGACACTGGCTGGACATAATTAGCAGGGAAAACCCCCTCCTGTCCATTCAGCTCCCCTTTCCACCAGTCTTGATCATCTCGATTGATCACATTAATGATGGCATCTTTTTGGAATGTCAGCTCATCATCGTTCTGTGCAGTGTACGGATACAGGGCTACCACTTGGTCAGCAGCTAGAAAAAAAGCTAAATTTTATTTACTTTTGACATGATTTAAGGTTTATTTAACATAAATTATATGCTTGACACAAGTAGAATATTTGCACTGCCCAATGCAGCAAACTTTGCAACAGTTGCTACCACTCAACAGGAATGCTTTATTTCAAAGAATTTAGAACTTTGAAAAATGCAAAATTTCTAAAATTCACAATTTTCCCCATTGAAAAGATTGGGACATAACTGTACACTGTGATATGTAAAATCCACATAATACAACTTCGCAATGACAGAAATGCACTCTTCTTATTTTGGTCCAACATCAAAGTGAATTTTAGTGGCTAAAATATCACCCAATGGAATCTATTACCTTCCACAGGCTGCGGAGCTTGTTCTGGTGTTGGTGTTGGCGTTGATCTTCCCAGCGTGTTGGACTTCGATCCATCACCAACAGGAGTACTTCTGGCACTACTTGACCCTAGTAACTTGACATAATTGGCAGGGAACCATCCAATCTTTTTCTTTTGACCCCGAGCCTGAATAAAGCAAATAACATTCTAAGTCTGCAAACCATGTATAAAAGATTAAACCTTATGCAAACTTAAAATTGTTCTTACCATCCTACATGCTACAAAAGTCTGTAAATCTTTTTATCATACATGCCAATAGATAAAAGGAATATCAAAAATAAGCGAAGATCACTTCACTCTGTTCTTTCAACACACCTGTAATTCTCCCTCCCACCATCCACTGGGGCTCTTCTTGCGGACATGTATTAACTGGCCAGGCTTCAAGGACAATTGTTCTTCCCCAGTGGCTGTGTATGCTGCTATCACTGATGCTATCTCTGCATGCAACAATATTTTTATCATTTAGAATGATCACTGTAATTGTAATTTCAGCTAAGAATAAATACCTTTTTTACAATTCAAAATTATGAGATTTTATGTTAAATAACTTATTTTGATTTACCATAAAAATATCATTATCTGAGCATTTTAGTATGAAGATATAAAATAACTATTTATTTCACTTAAGTAAAAAATTCTAATGAGGAATTTGTGATTATACTTACCTGGCTTTTTCCCTGCAAGTTTCAAACTTGGCTGGAAGAAAATAATGCAATAAATCTTATAAATCAAACATATGGCTATTAAAAATAACAACTTCCTTATCTATTTGACATTTGTAGAGCAACATACAACACTGGTAACTTAATAATCTATGACTATGGGTTTTGTCTATAAAACTAAATGCAAAGCAAACAATAAAGCTGAATAAAAATGAGATTTTGGGATTGGGATTATGAGACCAAATCTTTGGTTAGCAAAAGTAGTAAAAACAAGTATAATGTGTTATATCATCAAAAAGGAGTTTCAGACTCAAAATGGTTATCTAAGGTTATAACGTGCAAAGATCCTGTAATATCATTATTACAGCAAGCAGCTGGAAAAGTGGTTCATGAATTTCAAATTTGTGTTGACTAACACTGTAAAGAAAATCGATTTGTCAAATGCTTTCATCTAAAATTTGTACTTGAATACACACAGCAATGCAGATAGGCAAAATAATAACTAACAAAACAAACAATGCCACAGATTAAAAAATGTCCAAACATCACTCCTCTTATAAAACAGCTTGCTGCTTGCAGTAATTACAATTCCAAACTATATTTTCAGCTTAGGAAGGATGTACATATCACTGTTTCTTACTGCTGGCCTGGCTGTGACAGCAGGGAGCAGGGCTCCTAGTGAAAACATATCAGTGTCTTCCCCATTCTCACCCTGGTCAGTAGAAAGCAGCCACACACAGAAAGGAGAAAACACACAAAAACAAGAAAAAAGAAAACAGAAGGTAAGTTAGTACATAAAAAGACAACTAAAACTAGTTAAATCTTGTCTATACAGATGCATTGTACATTTGTGAATATACATTTGGGAATAAACACTGCATTATGAAAAAGGTTTCTTCATTGCATCAGAAGCAAATTAATGTGCTGTCAACAAAGAAACACAAACTAGGAGTGTGCAGTCTATGGGGGGAAAAAGTAAGAAAAACGAGCATTATAGAGCCATTTTATTTGTCACTCAAGCCATGTCCTAATTAAAAGCAGATAAAACAAGTATCACACATTTAATAAAAGGTCCAATGACATGCAAAAGTCAATAACATTAATACTAAATAATCTTTATATTATAACAACAGCATGGCAAGTATCAAACAACTGTTGGCTAACATGCAGTATGTTTGGCTTTACCTGTGATTCCATCTTCTTAACATAATTTGCAGGGAAGATTCCAGTTTTATCATTTAATGTCCCGGTCCACCAGTCGCCATCTTTACTGGTGATAGTGATGATATCACCTTGGTTAAAGCTCAGATCTCCTGCCTCCCCTGATATGTAGTTGTACATGGCTACATACAAGTCATCNATTTGTGATTATACTTACCTGGCTTTTTCCCTGCAAGTTTCAAACTTGGCTGGAAGAAAATAATGCAATAAATCTTATAAATCAAACATATGGCTATTAAAAATAACAACTTCCTTATCTATTTGACATTTGTAGAGCAACATACAACACTGGTAACTTAATAATCTATGACTATGGGTTTTGTCTATAAAACTAAATGCAAAGCAAACAATAAAGCTGAATAAAAATGAGATTTTGGGATTGGGATTATGAGACCAAATCTTTGGTTAGCAAAAGTAGTAAAAACAAGTATAATGTGTTATATCATCAAAAAGGAGTTTCAGACTCAAAATGGTTATCTAAGGTTATAACGTGCAAAGATCCTGTAATATCATTATTACAGCAAGCAGCTGGAAAAGTGGTTCATGAATTTCAAATTTGTGTTGACTAACACTGTAAAGAAAATCGATTTGTCAAATGCTTTCATCTAAAATTTGTACTTGAATACACACAGCAATGCAGATAGGCAAAATAATAACTAACAAAACAAACAATGCCACAGATTAAAAAATGTCCAAACATCACTCCTCTTATAAAACAGCTTGCTGCTTGCAGTAATTACAATTCCAAACTATATTTTCAGCTTAGGAAGGATGTACATATCACTGTTTCTTACTGCTGGCCTGGCTGTGACAGCAGGGAGCAGGGCTCCTAGTGAAAACATATCAGTGTCTTCCCCATTCTCACCCTGGTCAGTAGAAAGCAGCCACACACAGAAAGGAGAAAACACACAAAAACAAGAAAAAAGAAAACAGAAGGTAAGTTAGTACATAAAAAGACAACTAAAACTAGTTAAATCTTGTCTATACAGATGCATTGTACATTTGTGAATATACATTTGGGAATAAACACTGCATTATGAAAAAGGTTTCTTCATTGCATCAGAAGCAAATTAATGTGCTGTCAACAAAGAAACACAAACTAGGAGTGTGCAGTCTATGGGGGGAAAAAGTAAGAAAAACGAGCATTATAGAGCCATTTTATTTGTCACTCAAGCCATGTCCTAATTAAAAGCAGATAAAACAAGTATCACACATTTAATAAAAGGTCCAATGACATGCAAAAGTCAATAACATTAATACTAAATAATCTTTATATTATAACAACAGCATGGCAAGTATCAAACAACTGTTGGCTAACATGCAGTATGTTTGGCTTTACCTGTGATTCCATCTTCTTAACATAATTTGCAGGGAAGATTCCAGTTTTATCATTTAATGTCCCGGTCCACCAGTCGCCATCTTTACTGGTGATAGTGATGATATCACCTTGGTTAAAGCTCAGATCTCCTGCCTCCCCTGATATGTAGTTGTACATGGCTACATACAAGTCATCTGGAATTGAAAATGGTTAGAGGATAACTTGTCTGAATTAATTCAAAGCCTTGTAATTACTACTAAGAAATTCTTAAACAGCTTATATCTTACTATTTCATTATTTTCAAAATTTATCACTCACTGCTGTTTACAAAAACATATTTTTTCAAATGCACTAAACTTGCTATTAAGCTCAGAAATAATTTTAAATCACATACTTAAGGTAATACTAAAAAAATATCTTTAATGAAATACAATTAATCAGTATTATTTGAATTTAAAAGTAATTATTGCATATGAAGTGTTTTCCATAGCTCCCTCTCTCTCTCTCTCTCTCTCTCTCTCTCTCTCTCCAACAAACCAAAATATAAGCATGCTATTACCTCCTTGAGGTGGCTCCACTGTAATCTTCAGATCTACAGCTGGTGGTGGATTTACTGGGGTGTCTGACCTTTCATCAGAGACTATTTCTTGCTCTGATGTCACAGCTGATACCTCAGAACTAAAAACAAATTAGCAATGTTTCATTATTTTAATTAAATTGTCCCAATTATAATTATAATAAAAATATTTATATACCAATACTGGAATAAATTAGTTTAGAAACTACAGTAGTTTTCTTATGTGAATATAAAAAAGTGCAGAGTCATTTACTTACCTTGCTGAACTATCAGCTGCTGGAGCCTGTCCTATCAGTTTTACATAAGACTTAGGAAACCAACCAATCTAAAATACAGAAGTAAGTTTTAAAATTAAAACTTATATAATTGGGATTTGAATACATAAACATCATTCCATTTAACAAGGTGTGGAATGGAAGTGATCCTGATTTTTCTCGCAGATTTGAAATAAAATAAGCTGTAAGCGCAATCTGCAGCAGCTAGCTATCAATGTGCTTTTAGTATATTCTAATTTTATGTTCTACAACTTGGGGACTTTTTCATGTTATACAAAGACAAAGGTTAAAAGAACTACAGCTTTTTCTTCATCTGGTTTTATTCATATTTAGCCTTACAGATGCCACACCCATTTTCTCTCCAGATTACGCACTTTCTGTCCACTTCACAAATGACCCACAGTCTCATCATATCCATCATTCTACAGGCTTTATTCCAAGTTTTTGCCTCTACAAATCTTACTTTTCCATGCAGCTTTCCAGACCACCACATGTCCTGTTGCTCCAGCACAGTGATCACATCACCTTTGTTGAATGTCAGGTGGTTGTCCTTCTTGGCCCTCCATGGGTACAGAGCCTGAGCTTGCAGACTCTCTGAACTCTCTGCAGGTTGCTGCTGCTGCTGAAAAGCCAAGTCAACCACTGCAAACACCACCAATAACCCACCTCTGCACTGCTACACATTATGTTTTAGAACAACATCCATGACTGTTCATGATTGCCTTGAAAAGAGTATTGCTTGTCTTTCTTCTATTAGTGCCAGCCTTTGTCAAAATGTCTTTTAGTATCTTATCTTTTTTGTTATAAAACTGATGAATGACATACCGATCATATTAATCAACCAATTTTGAAATTTGTTTGACAACTTCCTATGCTAAACCACATGCTGACAAAGACTTGAAAAGCGAGCAAACAAATTCTCAAACATTTCACAAATAAAAGCCAAGCTGTGCTTGCTTACAAAACCCGTGTGAATTACAGATACATGTCAGTAATATCCCAGAAATAATCATTCCATCTTGTTCTCTTTCACTTCCTTCCTCTCATATATTCATGTAGATGGCATTCAGAACAAAAATCATTAGGTGCATAAGGATTAATTGCAAAAAAAAAGTTTAATTTGTCAAAGGAAATACCCATTAAAGAAGATAGCTCAACAGTAAGTAGTAAACCTTATCCAAAATATTTATATCAATGCCTGCCATAAGCAAAATCTGAGTTTTGCATTTAAAGATATTGATGCAGCATACTTATGTATAATTAGAGAATTCCAAATTGCTAAGTGAAGAATTCTTTAGCAAAGGGCACCAGATTTGGAGAAACACAAATTCTGCTTTAAGCCTTTCAAATAATAAATAAATAAATAAATAAATAAATAACCTTCATGCCCAATATGGACACAAAACTGAGCTATGCTTCACATGCTTCCTGGGTTGTCCATGTTTTCACTTACTTGGTTAACCTCTGCATGTTGTGCTACTGCAGTAAATGAAGAAGCTTCTGAGGTGGACAGGTGGCTTACCACTTGCTGCTGGCCCATATCTTGATTACTGTGAGTCTCATTGCTAAAGTAAAAGAAAACATAGTTCCACATTTCTCCTTTCGTTTGTTGTCAGCATAGCAATGGCACTATGTGCAGTGATCAAGAAGCCCAAAACAAAATATTATTGATAAGCATAGTACCAACATTTATTTACTTTTATGCTCTATCTTTCCACACTCCACAGTAAAGTTGTATNAGCATAACTTCTACAATAATGGCCCGATCATGCTGATTTTCGAACTTGACCTGCGTTTTATGAATATTCATCAGCTCTGTAAATATAAAGCCAAAAAGTGAAACTGCCTTCCACTTATCGTGTTTACAAGGAAAGTGCACGGGGCCGGCGACGGCATCGGCATCGGCATCGGCGACGGCGACGACAGACGCAGGTGATGGCAATATGTACAGACACATCTGTGTCTGTACATAACAAAAATCATTAGGTGCATAAGGATTAATTGCAAAAGAAAGTTTAATTTGTCAAAGGAAATACCCATTAAAGAAGATAGCTCAACAGTAAGTAGTAAACCTTATCCAAAATATTTATATCAATGCCTGCCATAAGCAAAATCTGAGTTTTGCATTTAAAGATATTGATGCAGCATACTTATGTATAATTAGAGAATTCCAAATTGCTAAGTGAAGAATTCTTTAGCAAAGGGCACCAGATTTGGAGAAACACAAATTCTGCTTTAAGTCTTTCAAATAATAAATAAATAAATAAATAAATAACCTTCATGCTCAATATGGACACAAAACTGAGCTATGCTTCACATGCTTCCTGGGTTGTCCATGTTTTCACTTACTTGGTTAGCCTCTGCATGTTGTGCTACTGCAGTAAATGAAGAAGCTTCTGAGGTGGACAGGTGGCTTACCACTTGCTGCTGGCCCATATCTTGATTACTGTGAGTCTCATTACTAAAGTAAAAGAAAACATAGTTCCACATTTCTCCTTTCGTTTGTTGTCAGCATAGCAATGGCACTATGTGCAGTGATCAAGAAGCCCAAAACAAAATATTATTGATAAGCATAGTACCAACATGACAAAAAGGGTAAGAAATTTCAAAGAAAGGCAGAGAGAAGAATTTTAATCTTAATACATTTGGTAAATGCAGATAATTACTTATTTTATTTTATTTTATTTACTTTTATGCTCTATCTTTCCACACTCCACAGTAAAGTTGTATTTTTTTTTTTTTGCAAGAATGGCATTATCAAAATGAAACACACCTTGTAGTGACTGTGTTCTGATCAGGTCCTACAGATGGCACATCATCTTCCTCCGCTTTCCCTACATAAGCCTCTGGGAACCAGCCGACTTGGCCATTCTTCTCTCCCTGGACCCAGCCCGGCTCACCTGTGGTGTCCAAGAATACCTAGTAAACAAATATAGATCTTTTATACTAAATTATTTTCCATGAGGCTGGCTCTACTGTAACATTCCAGCACCACTGTTCAGGGACAGAATGTTCAGAAAGAAATTCTGCATAATCAAAGAGAGCATAAAATCAAAAGGTTCAAAGGTGGATATCATTGTTTTTATCTTTCTCACCTCAAGCAACATCATGGTACTTATTTTACCTTCATCAATATAACCAGAGCACTCATAAAAACTACACTGTGCCTATCTTCTAAATAAATTTATTTATATTGTAAGATATGCCCTAAGAGCTGTATTAAGTGCACTGACCTGAACTATATCTCCTGTTTCCAAAGACAGTTCATCAGCATTCCTGGCTTCAAATTTGTACAAGGCTTTATGCTTAACACCCTTCTTCTTTGCTAAAAACAATACAATAACTTATCACTATCACTTTTTGCTTCACGTTTTACAGATAAATTCTCCTATTTCATTGAAGAAATAAGAAAGCCACTTGCAATTATCTGTTCTACAAGATATAATTTTTCAATGACTATATTTTTCATTTTACAAATTTGGCTTCAGGCTTTAAATATTAAATTTTAACTCACCGATATAAATACATACCATTTTGGTTACCTGAACTGAAAGCATCTGCCCATGTGTCATTCTGTGTTTGACTTTGTGTACCAAATGCACTGCCCCATATATTAGTATCTGATGTGGACTTTTGACTCTGTGCACCAAATGCATCCCCCCAAACATCCTGCTGGTTTGGCTGGGACATGGAATTAAATGCATCAAATGCATTGCTGAATACTGATGACTGTTGCTTCTTTTTTTCTGCTTCTTGTTTCTGTCTTTCACTTTCTTCTGCAAAAAGAATACCAAATATAATTCATTTCAATAGAATTTAGTGTGAAATACTATTCATACACTTCAAAATCATCTGTTACAGTATAAGAATTAATATTAATTTTTTTTTTTTGATTTGCATTTGTTCATAATATTTACAATAAAAAGTTTTTTTTAGCGAAAAAAATCACATTTATTTTAGCTTGCCTTTCTGCCTTCTCTCCTCCTCTTCCCTCAGTCTCTGCTGCCTTTCCAATTCCTCTTTCTGCTGTCTTTCTTGAAGTTGCCTAAAATGGGACAAATCATTTATCACAGTTACAAATAGATGGACAATGTAATATTTTGATAGTCCGTTTAACTGGGATTTGTTAAATACAAATGTCATCAATTTCATTTAATGTCTTAATCAACAACTGGTTCTTACTTTTGCTTTGCCTCTTCCATTTCCCGCCTTATCTTTTCTTGTTTTTCCCTTTGCAAATTATTTTCTTCCTGTTCCCGTTTCCTTTTCAAGTCCCTAAATGTCTGCTGTTTCTGCTGTAGCTGACTATTTAATCTATGAATAGTTCTTTCTAAATCCTGAGCATTTCTATTCATTTCCTGCAATATATATACTATTGTTAAAAATCAGAATTCAAAATTGCATCTTTAATTTTAGCACTTTGGATATATAGGAAATCTGTCTATCTGTAAAAATAAGCATAAATATTGAAAAAGACAAGGTTACTTTGAACATAATTTTGAAACTTCTACTAGCTCTTTCTTGTTTAAATAACTTACACTTAATTGAGAATTGTTACTACTTTGTTCTTCTGATTTTCTGGCCTTGTCATTTTCTAACTCTTGTAGCTGCTGGCGTAGAGCCTCTATACTGGATTTTTTGGCATTATATGTATGTAAAACTGTTTTATATGTATCCGCTAAAAAGACAAACAGAATCATATTCATGTCACACTAAGAGCAAATAAAATGAAACTCAAAACTGCTATTGATATATTCATTATAAGAAAACCAAAGTGAAATTTATACTAAATGAAATATAACTCCATACAAAATTATCCATTTAATTAAAAAAATCATTACAAATTTGTGACCATATGACATGACTATTTCATGGCAATTAATACTATGGTATTGATGGTATCAAAAGACAAAGGGGAAGTTTTTCAGCTTATAATACATATTAAAAACAGCTTTAAAAGTCAAACTTACATAAGGGGTTATTTTGAAGAGCAGTCTGGTGCTTGGTATTCAAATTTTCTTTCTCTTGCTGTAGAAAGTGCATTCTCTGATTATAGTTTTGTAACTGACTGTTCAGTCTTTCTATTTCTGCCAGTCTACTATCCCTAACCTCTCTCATTTGGTCTATGGTCTGTGTATATTCTGTCACTTGCACCTTGGCTAGCCCAATTTTTTGGCCAATTTCAACTTTTTTGGTATCCTGTTAATAAAAGCAACATTGTCAATGCACAATTAACTATCAAGGAAAGACAAAATGAGATGGAAAATTAGTTTTGCAAAAAATTACAATATCCCAATCAACATGAAAATAACTATGAACCATGTTATCACATACAGTGAAAATAAATGAAACCACATCAACTTACAGCAGACACATGATGCAGTGAAAAAATTTTGAAAAATTACTGTAAGAACATGAACTACTTACCAGGGCTTCCAGGTCAAACTTCAATTTGCTCACTTGAGCCTCCATGTTATCAACCTGCTCCTTTTCTCTGTGCTTTTCACCTAGTAACTGTGTCTTTCTTTGTCTCTCCCACTCCAGCTGCCTTTGTCTTTCCATTTCTCTCCTGGCAGCCTACAATTATAAAGAATATTAGCCTAAAGTTAAACACACAGTACAATATTACAAATGGTGCAATTTTATTTCAACTTATATGTAATAGTGTAGCCAGTATTGAGAAATTTGGATGTATGAAAGCTACCACAAAAGACAGCTGAAGTTTTTAATTTACAGAACAGTATGTATTTGAGTCAAATGTACAAAAAAAAAAAAAGAATGGCTTTCTTTTAAGCGATACCGTACTACATGGTAGGTGGAATTTAAGCTGTGTTGAATGTGTTTTATAACCTCACCTCCCTAGCCTCCATAGCTTTCCTCCTCTGTTCTTCCCGCTCTCTTTCTATTTCCATCTGCTTTTGTCTCTGTTTTTCTAATTCCATCTGCTTTTTCCTTTCTTGTTCTTGCCTATAAAAATCAACAGAATTCTATAACCCCTACTTTGAAAAGGTCAACAGATTTCCTGCCAAGTTCCTCTTAATACCAGGGGTGGATCCAGAGCTATTTACTGACAGTCTTCCAAATTAAATTTGTTAATTTATCCTCCGATTTTGACCGTCTTCCAACAGAAAAAATTAGATACCTGTCAATGTAAACTTGAAGATCTGACCGCCTTCTGGAAGACCCAGAAGACAGCCTAAATCCGCCCCTGAATACTGATATATATTACACTAGTTTTATACTCTTTTGGACCTTTTTGCTTTTCAAAAGTCAAGGTAGGTATTTGTTTCTTCTTCTTTTAGAAGAATTTCATAATTCCTTTGATGCTTTACCTCTGTCTTTCCCTTTTCTCCTGTTCTTCTCTTTCCTTTGCAAGTCTAGCCTCCTTTTCCTTCTCTTGCTGATCTCTGAGAAAGGCTCGCCTTTTCTCCAACTCAGCTTGGCCTTTATCAAAGTTCTCCTTTCTTTTGTCTTCAAATGTGACTACATAAATAGACAGAGAACACATCAAAGACTCATCACTAAATAGCTAAACCAAATCAATGTGTCATTAATTATGTGATAAATTGGTGTTCAATCATTTCAAAATTTCAGGACTATTATAAATCAATCTAACACACAACTGTTAGTATCACTAATTGTGAATAATCAAAATTCTTTGATTGGAGTAGTTAATCAAATAAATGTGCTCAAACCATGCAAATTAGCACTTTGTACTGTTTCAGAAGTACATACCTGGTGCAGCAGGTGCTGCTAAATTATAAAATAAGAAATAAAATGCACTTCACTCAGAAATCAAATTCATGGATGATTTTTAAAAACATATAATGATACAGCAAAGAGATGTGTGCAGATAAAAAATGTCAAATTTACACAAGAATTATACAACAAGTAATTTTGTGTAATACAATTGTTTTAAAATGTTTTGACTTTGCTTCAAGTATTTTCCAAAATTTATACTTAATCAACTTGTTTTAAAAGTCTTAACCCCGGATTTAACTTATTGAAGCCAAATAATCAATTTATTAGCAACTAAAATTATGCTTATATGCCCCACATAATGTAATACTCCATATGTTGTTTGTTTTCAATGTTGTATCATTGCAGTTTCTACAGATAAAAAAATCAAGGGAAGGTAAATTTAAGTGTAATGAGTAAGAAAATAAATGTGATTGAATGTACAAATAAACCATTCTAAGGATAAATTATTTTACAATGCAATCAAAAAACACAAACACACTTGATTTCAAAAATCTTAAAATTAAAAAAAAATAGCTAGCAATAAAAAACTTTAAATTTAACTTTATGAAAGTTCAAAATATTTACAGTGATTATTGAGTTAGAAAGTAAAAATAAAGCAAAGTCAATTATCAGAATGGTAGTGTTATTGATATTGCTTTGTGGAATCAAAAAAGGTGTTGTAAAAATTGGAAAGCTACAGAGGTGTTAATCACAACAATACTAACATGCAGAGAGGTCTGTCCCTTCATCTGAATAAAAATAAAAATGCAAGCACAACATCACTATGACATATAACAGTAAAAACAATTAAGACATTAACATTAATGTTCAGGATTCTTAATAGTATTGATTTCTGTAACACGTTGGTGTGACATACATAGATATAAACAATGTAGACGACCACTTATTACCAATTTCGTATTGCCAGAAAAAAAAAA